TCGTGGATTAGAAATAAATCCGTATTTGACAGCTACATGGAGCTCAATTCAACCTCTCTACTCACTGATGGCGGTATCTTTTTTCCGGGTACAGTTCCGCAGAGATCCTGCGATATATTATTGGATGACGATATATATCAATACGTATCTGATTCAATATTAATATTGCATCGATTATTTTAAACTATATGATAATAAAAAATCTAACAAAGTTTTTAGGGTTTAATTTATCCTCAATTAATTATATACTGAGTAATTACGATAAAAATAGAGGGAACAATCCATATATAAATCCCAAAGTACCCATGAACCTTTGAGAAAACTATAAGTCACTCCCCCGTAAACCATATACTTAAAATACTTTTAATACTTATTAATTAAATGTTCGTCATGACGAGACACCTTGTGCTAAACTATCCATTATCTCATAAATTGCCCTTTAAGGTCGTAATTCCTTTCTAAAGGGAATTTTCCATATACCTATTGTTAACAATACCTAAGCTGTACTTATTTGTTTGTTATTCTTTCAATTTATTACCTTACCTAAATGAGTTGTGATATTTTTTGTACCGGTACTTCTGTTTTGTTTATTTCAGCTTAACGTAACCAATCAATAGTTTTATTAATACTAGAAGTCAAACGGGGTGAAGCCCGTGGGCACAAGCTAGTAAATATATTTAATTGAAAATCAATTCAGACAAATGGAAATTCGCTTAGTCGGCAGGTTTGCTGCGGCGGGGGTATTATGTAACAACGCGGAAACGTTTAAGTGTTTAGTGAAATATTCATTCACGGACAGAATCCGTAACTCATGAAATTAAATTTTTGTTATTTATAAGCCTAATAGTAGGCTAGTTACAACTGTGTTGCCATACAACAAAACATTCCTTTTAATTATTTTTAAAATAATGAGTACGTGTTGAGAAACAATATTGTACGATTTAACCTTAGCTGTAAACTCGAGGTTTTGGACAACTGACATGTTTTCAAATATCGAAGGTTGTTTCCAAATTGAAATCGGTGTGTGTTTCATTGTTACCTTTGCACCTTTGTTTCAGCCCAATCTAATGATGTTGGCACAGATACCTTACCTAAAGTAATTAGATGTCACATCACCATCTACATTGTATCTTTGACTGTGGTAGAACCGCATCCATTCCACTAGTTCCAAAACTATAATTACAGCCAATTTCACGAAAATCTCTAAAATAAAATTCATTACAAAATTCAACTTGCGTACAACATTCTCAATTTGCGCATATAACATACGAAAATATTGAATGAAAACTATTAGAATACATTTCTTCAAAGCGAAAGGGTCTATACACCTACGCCAAAAACAATACATATTATGTAACAGGTATGAGGGTTTTGGAGCTGAAATATTCCATGTTTTCGGATGAAGGTTAGAGGAGGAACCGTTACCTTTAAGCTGCAATATGGCGAAGTCTGAGCTCATGTACAAACATGACTTTGTAAAACACCTTCCCTCTACCCAACAAAACTTACCTATACTCTTCCGAATTTGAACGACCCTTATCCCATTCTACAAATTATAATACTTGGCATGACTATAAGTAGTAGGTTCCCACATAATTTTATATCAAAATGTTATACCTAATCGTCTGAAGGACATTGGGTTTTAAAAGCAGAATTGTATGCCTAAGTGTTTTTTTATCTAAATAAAATCAATTTAAATATTTTATCTATTTAAATATTAATGTGGACTTTGGACAGGACAGCTGTATTCGGTTTTATAATTAAACCAAAAATAACATGGTTGAATACGCCTCCTCCGCCACGTTTACACCTATGTTTACAACAATTAAAATAAACATTGCATTCTCACAGTACTTCGTTGTCTTTAACAGTATTTCAGTGTTTACAACAGGATTTTTTCCCTAACAAAGTGTTGTAACAATTTGAGGTTAATATTAATGAGAGGCCAAGGGAGATATGTGACTTTAAAAAAAATGTCATTGTATTTTTTTCATAGTCATAAAAAATAAAATAAAAATAAATTCACTTATACCCCTTGGCTTCCAACTCTTAGGTGTTTAGTTTGGAGGCCAAGGGATATAAGTGAATTATTTGTTGAAATTCCACCCTTTTTTAACAAAACCCGTTACCATGACAACATTTTTTTAAAAGTCACATATCTCCCTTGGCCTCTCGACGCCTCAGTTAGACAATTATTGTTGACAACACATTGACAAAAATCACGTTGACAACATGTTTAAACATTATGATAAAACAGCTGATATCAAAGAAAGTACGAAAGACAGACAAAAGTTAGAATATCAGACTCCAAGGAACAATGAAATTTTATCTTCCTAATGATATAAAAATTACATGTACACAATCGCAAAATTTCAGATTTCATGTGATTATTTTGACATCAAAATAGTGACAAATCTGAGATATAAATTGTGATTACAAATGTTATCAAACTATTAACAATCAACCGATTTAATTCTTAAGTGTTGTCCTGATCATCGATTATATATATCGGTTATATACATCGATGGTCCTGATTAACACCTTTCTTAAATCAACTGATATTTTTTCTAATCTTTTGAATCGTCTTTAAATGAGTTAAAGTTTAATAAAAATGTTCACATGTCAATAAATCGATGTTGCTTGAAGCTTGTAAATAAATTATGGAATAAAATAAATGGGTAAAGTGAAACGTAAAAATAAAACACATGATACCTAAATTCAATTTATAAAACCATTGAAACCCTACAATGACATTTCAAACACCTCCAAGAAAAAATACCAAACAAATTTATAAAAATGTGAAGGAGGAAGAACTTTAAGGAAATGCTACCGCCCAGATTCACTGTTGAGACTCAGATTGAAAGTATCAAGTTTGACAGAGGGCAGGCGGGTAATAAAGACTACAGAAATTCTTGACAAGTTGTTTGGGTCGATGCGTTACAATATTACCTGCTATAGGTCAGTAATTTTAAACGTCATTGTTTATATAAACCAGTCACATGCATCAGAATTTATACTCATATATTCTCATATTTTGAAATCCTATGCATGTTTTGGCGTCTATGTTTGGTGTCGATTGAATGTTTCTTTTATTAAGTGTTAAATATTTAGTACACTTTACTCTGTAATTGTTCTACTAGAGGACAAGAAAAAATTCCTAAATAGATTGTTTTGTTTAACCTAATTCAAATAGGTTTAAATTCTGTTTAGTTACAAGAAATCAAAAAGACAATTTTAAGCCCTTTGAGAGAAGGTGAGTTTCCCGTGTCTTCAAGGGAATACCACTTAATTCTCCTGCCTTTAAAAATCACAATATTTTCTTTAAAAATAATAAAACATATACACAAACAACACGTTTGTGTAGTGATAAACTACATAAAAATGCTGTAGAGATAAAAAAAATACTCAAAAACCAGCATTATTTCAAAATTTATAAAGATTATGAATGTATAAACTACTTACCTTATGTAACTCTAAAACCTTTTAGCAAGGTTATGGAGTACACTGATTCTGTTGAAAATTTTTCTTATAGATCAATATCGTATATCACCCTTTTTGGGCCAAACCACATAGGGTTTTTATTATTTTACTAATTCTTAAAGAGAATAATATTGATTTTTACTTTCTCTCCCCCCTACCAAAAAAAAACCGATAATTTAGAGGTTTTGTTTGTGCCTTTACAATAGTTAACATGTGTTTCCAATATTTCTAGTAATTTTACTCTGTATTAAGTAAAAAATAATGAAAAAGGGGGTATCTTCAATCAATAGCTGAAAACATTGAATAAAGTATCAGAACTTTTGCTTTGTTCAATTTAAAACTCTGGTTGTTCCCCTTAGGGGGGAATGAAAAAACAACTCCTTTGTGTTTGATTGGAGGTGTTTTGTGTGCACCTTTCTGCTTAATTAATGTAATATTTTGTTATTACAATATATACTTATAAAAGTCAAATACCATTCACTGACTCACTGATCACTATATCTCAAAAACTACAAGCCATAAAAACTCAGGAATTGGCATGGAGGTTCCAATCAACCTCTAGGTGTGCAATAAGAAGCGTTTTCAAGAAATTTCAACAGGCTCCAGTGGCTTTTAAAGTTCCTACGTTATTCTTATGGAGAAAATGTTTGTCTACATTTGAACACATGAATTACTTTTGAATCTGCACTACTGTAAAATAATTATCATCATTGCAATAGCCTACTAAATTGTAGGTGACGGATTAGCGAGGTTCTACTGTATTAATCAAGGGAACGGTTATATTTTATTGGGTGAAATAAAAATATACACTTTGTGGCTTGAAAAGGTGTTTTACTCCATAAAACATTTTTAATAGGTAAATGAATTAAAAATGAAGATGTGTAGGGCTGGACTCTATTTGTTGTGGGTTTTAAGATCTGTGTGTTCTCTATAGTTTAATAACATATTTATTTAACATGTTCAGAATATGTCATAATTATTTGCTAACGAGTTTAATCCATCATTAGAGGGGATAGCACCTGCCTTCTTTTATCACTTAAGGAATATTTATAAGTGGTGTTCAAGAAAGAAGATCACAAGTTTTTGATAAGTGCAATCCCACCCGTTCCTAACTAGATAGGATATTGACAATGCCACAATCATGCAATTGCAGAATGATAAGTATGTTGTTGTAAAATCAGAGTCCAAGTATTTGGTGGATTAAGTTTGGTATTACTGGATGAAGTAAATTACAAACTAAATTTTAAAGAGTAATGTTGTAAATGGAGACTTTTCCCTTAGTTTTAACTTCGTTAGTCACACATGCTTAACTAAATTAAGTTATCATAAATAGATTTAACCCTAATATGTGTTTTTTTTTTGTGACTATCATATTAAACATTTATTTTTTTAATTTAAATTTTTGTGAGCAAAGCCACAACGGGTTTGCTAGTACTTTTTAATTCCATGGTTTCAAATTTCCCTCACCATCCTCAAAAGTTCCAGGTGACCCGGTGGACCTGCTGGCAGCCCTGGGGGTGTCCACGGGTCAAGCGAAGGTGTCACAGGTCGTGGGTCGGTGTGGAGCCCTAGGCAAACCTGGGTACCGCCTCACAGACCCCGAGGGCCCTCTAGGAGTCAACTCCCGGCAGATCTTCCCTCACAGTTTCCCTGAAGACTTCTCTATCCTCGCTGTCGTCCGTCTCGCACCAAACACGTCTCAGTCAACACTCTTTAGTCTTTACAGGTAACATTTCATTACAACTCTTGGACTATTTAAACTCACCTAAAGATTTGGCATATAGCAAAGAACAGTCGGAACAACTCGAACTTCGGTGCGGGAGGGACGGGTTCAATCCCCGGCACATCCAACTGAACATTTATCTCTCGTAACTCTCAATGTCACTGGCGTAGAAAAAAAAAAAAACAGTGATTACAAAAATGAAACTCAGAAACTCTTGAATTTGGTGTTCCTCAAGGGTCTGTTTTGGGTCCCACAATTTTTTTTAGAATAAATCAATTATGGATTAATAAATTAGCAATTTCAAGAAAATGTATACTATTTGCTGTTTGAATTATTAAGAAAAGGTTGTATTTCGCTTGGTTGCATTTTTTATTTCATAACTTTTTGGAGGGAAAGGGTCTTACCCTCCGAAATTACTTCTACTCTTGTTCCAGTGACTCAGGCACAGATCAGCTTATTCTAGGAACAGATGATGACTCTGTCACTCTTCACTACAGAGACAACAACATGGAGGAAGGAGTGAACATTGTCTTCCAGGCAGACATCAACGATAACAGGTCGACACAAGTTATCTATTGTTTTATATATACCATATTGGAATAATAGTTGACAGGTTCCATGAATGTAATTTAAAATTCAACTTATTGCTTTTAGCTTGATGGATCTTTAGTAATAAAAAAGACAAACATAAAGTTTACAAATAAACTGTTTTTAACGAACCATTGATTGACAAACAAAGAATCGTTTTTGGTTCAAGTAGTTTGGTTACATTACAATAAACAGGTATTGAACAAATACAAGCCATACATACATTATTAAAATTAACATAGACACATTACATAGACATAATCATAGACTAACCAACACAAGTAGACTTCTCATCCCATTGTAAATTCTGAAGCACGTTTTTCGTGTCTAGTTCATGTACGTGACACAAAGGCGCTAGTGGCGATGAAACTTTGTTTCCATTATTTTAGGGTTAATTTCTTGATTTGTGCTTTACTGTTTGGTTATATAACTAGGGGACAAGTTATTGTTTATGATTAGATCGTATTATTTGTTTAAACAAGGTTTTAAATAGCTGTAATAACGGGAAACAAATTGTAAACAAAACACGACCTCTACATAAACCGTACATGAACTAACAATAAAATTGACTTCAGCTGTTCCATTATGGATGATAAATCTACTAAGGGAGTATGTTTTATCTATGACATTATTAATTGTCTAAAGCTGATCCATTTAGTCTAAAAGAATGTATTTTTTATCGTTTAATATATTGTACACAAGGAAAATTACATTAAAGCTACCTACTTCCCTGTAGGAAAATTAGCTTAAAATCTTATTTAGTTTTGACTTATTTACTAAAGTGTTGATTATTAGATCAAATTTTAATTGATTGTTTATTTAATTTAATTTATTAACTAATGTTTTCTCTATTAATACCAACTACTGAACAGAGTAGAGTTCATCCGCAACGCAATAATCACATAAAACAGTTGCTGATCAGACATTACATCGTAAACCAATGAATAGTGAACAGTCAGTGTCGGTATAATGTTGCGTTTGAATATTTGATTGAGTGCAATTAATCGTTGCATATGAAATAAGCATTACGATCAAGGTTATAAATATTAACTGACTGCATCAATATTAAAACAAGAGTAGTAAATAAATGTTAGTTAAGTTAAATCTTATTTTAGCGTTTTCATCCTCGTTTTAATTACCTATCCTTGTGGTCCTCACTAAAGAAACAGCTGATCTTTTTAGTGACAAAACTTCACAAGGTATCACACATACCTAAAACGGAACATTACATAAAAGGGAACACACTTTTTTCCGCTGTCCACGATGGGATATGCTTCGCCAGGAGGCCATTCAACATCTTGGGGTGCTGTCGATTGAATCGATTTGTGAGACCTTGCTGAAGGGTGAGGACAACTGGGACTGTTGGTCGCACTTTGTTCGGAATGTCCTTCAGGCTAAAAAGAACGATCTAGATCGGATCACAGTCTAGATTTTATAAGAAATAAACGGCTAGACACGGCGTAAGCCCCTCGGGCGTAGGCAAACTCGGCCTAGTTCTGATGAAGTGCGACAAGTGTTCCCAGGCTAGTGTCCGAAGAGTAGAGGAGGTTTTTAGTGGGTAGTCTCTGGGCCTTAAGCCCGTTGGAGTCCCACACTACAGGCTAGCCACCTGTGTGCATAAATGCATTTTCCCACCTCTCCCTAAAAAAAAAGGTATCACACAATTCTATAGGTACCCATTGTATTCCGTATTTGGAGTTACGCCCAGTAGCGCTTCATCTTAACAATTGTTGATGGTAATGTTTCTCTTACCGAAATAGTCTAGTGGTAGAGCGTAGGATTTCGGTTACCAAGGTCCCAGGTTCAAATCCCGCCGATCACCAATGGATTTTATCCAAGTTATAATGACGTAACCCTGTATGGACCTAGCCTGAAGTAATGTGGAAAAGAATTCAAGGTTAGAATCTAGCTAGAGGAGGAATACAAATAAAATTTAAAATATTTAAAAAATGGTTTTCTCTATAATATCTTCTACATTTCCCCACAGTTGGCATCGCCTGGGACTTGGTGTCAAAGGTGATTCTGTTTCCATGGTGATGGACTGCAACACAACCCTGAGTCAACCACTTCCTCGAGGTTCCGGCGGGGCTCTGAACATCGACGGAGTTCTCTTCTACGGCCAACAATTGCTCGATGAAGGATTTTTTAAGGTTACCTAATATTTTAAAATTTTCCATCACTCTATATACAGAAATATCTACTGGTCAATTTCCAAAATATAAAAACATATGACTTTGCCCTTCCTAAGCTTTCTTTGCACAACCAAAACGTTTTAAACAAAATTTTCTTGACCCCATCAAACAAAGTTTTTGTTTAGCTTAACAGAAGCACTGATGTATTTATTACTTTATCATGAAAACTATTTGTTAAGCGTTAAAATAAACTGCAAACCAATCCTATGAAAACTTTAAACAGAACTGGACAATGGAATAGTATTTTATTATTTATAAAAAAGTTGCTTTGTGTATGTGTGCAAGTATTGAGATGAAAATTATCGCTCACTATTTGTCACGAAAGATCTGTTCAGGGCTTGACATTTGTTTCAGTGATTGGCTTCGCTGTGCTCAAAAACCTAACTTGATATGGGTTACTTTTGGGACTAGTAGTGAAATGTACTACCAGTATCACAGACTTTTTTACTACTAGCACAAGATGCAATCTAGGTTTATCTATTAAACCAGCTGATCTTGAGTTAAAATAACTGCAACAAATTAATATTCAACAAGGTAAACAAATAAGATTGTTTATGTAAGTATCAATAAGCATTCAATATTGGTGACTTGCTCAGGGAGACGTAGAGACACTGAAGATAGGACAGACGCCAGACGCAGCGTACACACTCTGCGACAGATATGCTAGAGACTGTGATTACCTCGACTCTGACGACACGGAAGAAGAGGAAGAAGAAGAGGAAAATGAGGATTACAAAGACAACTCGGAAACAACGCCTTCGCCTTATCCTAACAGTACGGCTGTGAGTACAAAGGTGGTTCTCGAATGGTTACTTAATTTTTAAGGGAATATTGAGTTCTGTTATTTGCATAGTTTAAAAAAGTGAAGTTTTTTGCAAATTAAGTGTCAGAAATTTCATAAAGATTGATAATATACTAAACAGTTTACAAAAGTGCTCAACAGTTTAGTAAGAATTTAAATTAAATCCCTTTCATTTATATCATCCTGTTTTAATTTATTTTTTGCTTAAGATTGATAAGTACCTTGACCTTAATCACAATAAGAATTAAGTTAACGTTATTGAACTTTTAAGAAACCCTTCTGATTGTGGCGGCCACAGTTTATGATCAGTTCATCAGTGCAAATGCTGGTGCATGGTTGGTCAGTGCATGGTTGCTGTTTGGATCAAAATTACTACTTGATTGGGTGGTGACTATCTTGCTTTAGGTCTTCTGAATTCAGGGACATTTCTAGGTGAATTTTTGCTAACGAATTCTCTTCTTTCCCTAAAACATGTTCAGCCGTTCAACTAAAATAGAAGTCCATCATCCTTTTTTTTTATACAAATATATAAAATTTGTTTCTAGCCAGGAAGCTATGACATTGCAGTAGGAACATTTCAAGGAGGGTCCGGAACAGGATCCTACTTTCCTGTGGGATCCCCAGGACCTAGAGGATACACGGGGCCTCCCGGACCTCCAGGACTTCCTGGAGCCAAGGGGGATCCTGGGAGAGACGGGCTGCCCGGAACAAATGGAATACCTGGACCACCTGGCAATGTGTTTATGATTCCTGTGAGTGCTGTAATAGTTATGTTTATTGAAGCTACTACTACAACTTGTTAATTGTACGTTACATAAGATTCTTCAAAAGAAAAAGTTATTATGTTGTTATTATATCTAAATTTACATCTATGTTGGATTCATGTACAATGATTTGTTATCAACTTTAAGTCTCTGGTTACAGATGAGTGTACAAGGCAATGAGAAAGGCCCAGAATCCCTCTCGGACATGGTTCGCTCTATGTTCTCACAGCATTTGGTAAGCTAAGCCATGATGTCAATACACATAATTCAACCATACTATCCCAAAACTATGATAATACATAATATTGAATTTCAACGATTTAACAATCAGCATTACTTTAAAGGCATGAATTTAAATTTCTAATTTGTCCGGATTCCTGATACCATTATGATAACTGTCTTTTGATGTTTAAATGTCTTGTTTCCTCCAGATGGCGCTAAGGGGTAGTGAGGGCCCCATGGGTCTTACAGGGGTGCCTGGAGGGGACGGGCCACCAGGGCCTGAGGGGCCTAAAGGGGAACCAGGGGACAGTGGCGAACCTGTAAGTAAACAAGCAGTGTCTCATTAGAAAACATTAGAAAATATTGAATTTTTTTACAACCTAGTTTGTTTTAATTCGGTTTTAATTATCATTTCATAGTTGTTTTTAAACACCAGCTAACTATAAAAATAAAAACAACCTAACTAACTAGCTTATCTGAATTCACGTATGTAGAATTCATGTTTTTATATTACTTAATGGTTACAAATAATTCCAAAAATTGACTCACCTTCATCCAGCAAATCACTTATTTTTTTATATATTTCTTGAATGTTGAAATATTTATTTCAGGGCCAGAGAGGAGATAGGGGAGTAGCAGGTCCCCCAGGTAGAGAAGGACGGCGGGGGAGACCAGGAAGAGACGGAGAGAGAGGTCAAACAGGACCTCCAGGAGTCAAGGGAGAGCAAGGACCACTGGGACAACCCGGACTCCCAGGAGAGAAAGGGGAGAGGGGCCATACCGGAGCAGCCGGAGCCCAGGGACTTCCTGGACACGACGGGATGCAAGGTGAAGAGGGACCACAGGGTCTGCCTGGACTACCTGGAGAAATGGTAGGTATTTGTACATCTGTTCAAAGAGTTCATTTTTGGTGAATCTAATTTATATTATTTGAGGGATTATTGCAGTCATGGTCTTACATGATTAGAAAAGAAAACAAGATTTACAATATTTCGACACAGGATTATTACGTAAACCCAACTTAAGCCGGAATATTATAAAGGAAACGACAATCAGGAAACTTAATGGTAGTCCTTGGTCTTTTAACTACTAATCTGTATTGTTAATAATTATTCTTACCAAACTAACAATTGAGATTGGGATATCCAGACATATTGTAATCCTAATATGAGTTTAGGATGAGCAAACAAAATAGTGAGGGATGAGGGTAAAAAAGAGTGGGATTCTTCTTAATCTTTTTACTGACTACGATCAGCTGTTTCTTTAGTCACGACCATTTTGTTAAGTTCAATCATCAAAGACTGCTGAATTAAATATTGTACGATCGAAAAAAATAGTGACTTTACTCTAGATAAAACAAGTACCGTATCCACCTTTGTTTGTATTGATTCTTCAACATTGACACATATGTTTAGGGAGCCAGAGGATTCATGGGCCCACGTGGATTCCCAGGTATGCCGGGTCCTCCGGGTATCCCGGGAGCAGAGGGTCCTCAGGGACCTAAGGGGAACAGTGGTCCACCAGGTCAACCTGGGTCACCAGGACAATCTGGACCCTTGGGACCCATAGGACCTCCGGGTCCTGCCGGACAGCTGGGACCTACGGGACTGGCCGTGAGTAAGCTTCTTCAATAAACATTTTTGTAATTTTCATATTTTTCTATAAGTTTAAAGTTTATTGTTCAACAATTTAAAAGTAAACCAACTCTAGCCCTAACACTATCAATAGGCCTTACTATTGCGTTTCACATTATTTTTTGAACTATTACAACAAACACAAGATATAAAAGCTTTTTTGTTGAAAATGTAATAACAAACTTTGAATTCCTCTTGAGAGGCGTTCCTTTCCTACTTCAAACTTGGGTTTTCAACTTTCAAGTGAATTCTCTTTTGAATTAATTATTACTGTGATAGTATTTAAGTTGTTTGAGCCCTAAAAGAATTGTGACTGTAATATGTTATTAAACATTAACATTTAAAGTAAAGGCGGAGGTTTAAAAATAAAGTGTGTGTATTATGGTATATCTCACAAATTTTAAGTTTGTTTAAATTAAACATAAATCCCATAAATTGATTATAACTAGAGGTCGTCCAGTGGTCAAAAACTTGACCAAAAATATGTAATGTACAGGACTTCTCTATTTTCACCCCAGACTGCAAATAAAACATGTGATTGGAATTTCTTCCATTTGTTTTGATTTTCTGTTTATATTGCGTTGTTATTTTGTCACCAGCATGGCAAACCATAAGATCTGTGCTAGTTTATTTTTTTATTTTAAAGTCATTTTTGTGCTTGTTTTGAGCCCATTTTAATTTATAAAGGGATTCTGCACATCTACAGCAAAATATCATTCTAACAGTATGCGTAGATTTTCCCTACGATGCACACAAGCTGAGATAAAAGGTTTTAAAGAAACATCCTTGCCTATTAATATATAGATAATACTACTAAAACAATATGTAATTATAATTTGTGTCCAGGGTCCAACAGGAAAACCAGGACTACCCGGATTGCCAGGAGCAGATGGCGCACCAGGACATCCGGGAAACCCAGGTCCTACAGGAGCGAAAGGAGACCTGGGACCAGCAGGGGTTCAGGGTCCTGTGGGATTTCCCGGAGCAAGGGGAGTGAAGGGGGATGAGGGGAAAAGAGGAGTTCCAGGAGAGAAAGGAGACAAGGGAGACAAAGGGTCAGAAGGAGAAAAAGGGGAAATGGGAGTCAAAGGAGAATCTGGACCTTCCGGGCCAGCAGGACAAGCAGGAATAGAGGGCCCTGAGGGACCAAAGGTGAGGAATGGTTATAGAATAAACTCTTTAAGCTTTATTTTAATAGTATTCAGAAAATCGTTTTACTTTATTAGTTTTTATTATTTTTGTAATTTGTATTTTTGTCTACAATTTACAAGGGAACGGTCCAAACACTGGTCTTGTTACTATCTAACATTAAACTTTTTTTTTAAAGCATCATAAATTGATGAGAATTCAATTTCATCAAGAAATACAATGTTTTCATGCACAAGGCATATTTCTGAAGTAAATCTTCTTCACAATAAAGATTATGCCAGTTAAGTTAATTCTTTGAGGGAGTAGGGTTTCCTTTCAAAGAGCCATGTTTGCAAATCCGAAGGGGTATGTTAACATGTTAATTTTCTCTTAATTAAACTAAACTATCTGCATATTTCTTTGAAGAATGATTTATTCCTTAATTTTATTTCTATTTTTGATCTAGGTATTTCTTATGTAGTTATCTGTTGTGGATTTTGTTGATCGGTGTGGACTTTTAGAATGACTGTCATATTTAGAGTATCTGAAGATCATAACTGTTTTATAGTACGTACAGTAAAAGTGTAACATTTTACGCCTAGTTATTTTTACCAATTGGTACCATATACTAACTTAGTTATAGTCATTAAACTATTTAAATATATTTAAACTATTTAATTGAGGTTCTAAAATATCAACTTTACAGGGTTCAGAAGGTCCTCGGGGAGAAACAGGACCACCAGGATTTACAGGAGAGAAGGGAAAGATTGGACAACCAGGGTTTCCCGGATATCCTGGACCTCCCGGAGACAAAGGGGATAAGGGAGCGGAAGGCAAGCAAGGACAAGCGGGAGAAAAGGGAGATAGGGTGAGATTATTTTTAATGGTGTGGAATAAGTGAGATCATTTACAAAACCATAAGAAATTCCATGGATTGAACATGTTTTTGTTGTAATATCAGACTTTATAACTAAGTGAATTCATTCAGTTTGGATTTTTAATCATATTCGTCAATTTAACAATTCCAGACTCCTAGGTGTGCTGATAAGGCAACAAAGACATTAATTTGTTGTTTTCATATTTTCTGTTACTTTTATTTGTGTTAATTTTGTTATTTATTTATTGTTTTAGGGCACTTCAGGACTCAGTGGGGAAAGAGGCGAAGTAGGACCAAGGGTGAGTGAAAAAATGTCTACAACACTTTTTCAATGGATAAATTTCAAACACTCTAATGTAAATTTAAAAAGTTCTTGTATGGCTTTTAGTGAAGGGAATTATACAATACTAAGGGATATTTCTTGATTAAGAAGCCTATCTTTTTTAGTTTTTAGATAGGTGTAAGTATCGACGTATATGGATTCTGAACCATCTTTCTACTACTGGTTCTATCTTAAACAATAACAAATACAGAATTATTTTAATTCATTAGATAGTAAAACACAATTTACTTACTTCAGACGAAGTGTTAGTCTTTGATGGTTAGGTGATTTCATTTAGTCAAAATAATTACTAAAGGTTTGTGGTCTGTTTTTAACAAGGTGTGTTTTCCCACAACGTAGCATTTACATTTTTCACAACTCTTAGTTTCTCTTTTAATGGTTTTGTTCAATCTGAGTGTGAGTAATATAAGAATAGGTTTAAACTTCCCATCTGAGATTATTGGTGTAAAAGTAGTCGACCCGGGGATGTATTTCCCTGACAGCGAGCCCTCACTTGGGACCTCCCAGTATATATTTTTTATTGGGGAAACAGTTCTCGGTAAACGCAGGGTCAATGACAGGGTCACCTTATCCTTTGACATTGTGGATGATAAACATGTGGGGTGTATGTTATTACATTTTATGGCAACCAAGTAGAGTGAAAGTAACCATCACAGTCAAGGCTATTTATGTTTCCATGGAAACAATTTATTAACAAATCAAATTACAGACACAAGAAGGATGCTGTTGAAATTTTGTGGTTTAAATTTGGAAAATATCAATTGATCAACGTTCTGAAGAGTCGAAGAGTGTGATCAAGCAGTTGCAGAATAAGTTTTGGTGAATACGGAGAGAGTTTGTCCATTGGCTGGTCCCCATCGCTCCAATCAGCAATCTTGCAGAACTAGTAAGCAACCGGAGAAAGATAGAAATGGAACAATGCAAGGGACTTGATGTAGACTTCATTAACAAGATGATCCTCAGCGTAAGCATAAGAAGATTACTAAGCACAAAATTCCAAAGGAGTTGTGGCAAAATATGTGGGGAACCAGAAGAAGAAACATGCAAAGAAGAACATGATTACCTTACATGTGGAAAATGCGGTGGATCATCTAAATACTTCAGAAGGAATAAACTGAAGAGATGAAGAACTGAATTATCTATCTCACTGGGGAAGAATTGTAGCAATGGATAATACCAAGGCCTTTAGGAATGCGGAGGAAGAAACCATTAGGACAGATCCTTTAGTAATAAGTATCTTATGTAGCTAGGTTAGGTATTTTTTGTATAGTGTTAGGTAAATTATGTATTTAGTATTAAGTAACTTTGTAATAGTATTAATCTGACCGAGTGAGGTAGCATCACGCTGTTTCACATTCGGGAGGTCTGACTATCAGACCGGCCATTCTGAGGAGAGTTTGTACGGTTTCTTTCCTCACCTAGGCGAATGCCGGAATGGTTCCCTCAAGGGCCGTACCCCGCCAGGCAGAATGGAAGATAGAACTCGGTTCTAATTCTGTTTGGTTTAACAAACCCCAATTAGGTAACCATAAAATACAAATAAACACATTTTCACCTACTTTTGTTTTCTATTTCGTATTGCTCTTTAATGTACGACTAAGAAAAAAAGTATGTTTTTCTTACAGGCAGAATGAAAGCATGACTTGGTCCTAATTCTATGTAATTTATAAGGATATACAGTACTCATAAACCTTAATAAAAAAGTAAATCGGTCCTGAATATAGGTCATACCATGTCATCTAAGGTAATAGCGAGCGATGTAGTTCTAAATTGTTTGGTAGGTGGGGAAATACTTACCATCGTCCCAGAAAAACACAGGCTGCATTTTAGAAACATTAAAAAAAAATTTCTTTAAATTAGGGTGAGAGCCCCGTTACCTTGTCATGTTCCGGCTCAAAATACGTCACTGGCAATCCTATAGGGGCAGTTTGCAATTCTCTATAGGGCAAATTTTCAAAAACTAAGAGAGGGGTTATGTGCAGGGTCATGTGTGCTAGAAAATAGATCGCACCTACTATACAACAAACTGGGTCTTTTTAAAGGCTGATGTTTTACCATCAGTGGTTTTCAGAGAGAAAAAAAAAATAGTCAGGGACATCCCAGTGACTGTTTACAGTTAAATCAAAGTTATTGCAGGGGTTTGTTGATATTTTCTTTTATATGTTTACAGATTATGATGAAGATTGATAAATTAATCATGTAGGTATTGTTTTATATATTTGTTGATTTTTTTTAAATGTGGTTACCAGTTGGGATTTTCTCTCCAAATTAGTAACTAATTTTATATTTCTATTTTAGGGCTTCAGAGGAGCAAGAGGCCGGATGGGGACTGAAGGCACCCCTGGACCAAAGGTGAGTTTTTGGAAATTTGTTACCCTTCAAGTTCCATGTCCCTACACAACTAAACGTTGCTCAATATTTGAACCAATGATGGATATACTCTTCATGTTATTAAGAGATGTGTTACAATTTTACCCACAAACTTCTGAAATATCAATGCATTTCACATCAAACAAAAAGCAAATAAAGTAAGAAAAAATCATGCTTCTGTAACTTTGTCTAACTTAAAGTGAGTTTTGTCAACTTAAAGGGTGCAATTGGTTTCTATTTTTTAATAACATTGTGCTTGAGTAAATGTTAATAAATTATACTACGTAAAGAACATAATTTGTTAATAAACTTAGACCTTCCAATATACACACAGTTGAAGATTATTTATCTTTAATGTTAAGATTGACCTTACCCTTCTTCAATCATCTAGGAATCTGTTTTATTCTTAAGACCTCGATTGTAATTATTTACAAAGCTGTTTCATAAGTCTGAAAGAAATTACTTATCTTAGCGGTATGTATTGGTACACTCTACAAATTACATTTCAAAACATTTTATAATCAGTTGGTACAAATCACAAACATTTCATTAATCTTTCTGATTTTTCAACAGGGAGACACCGGACAGCCCGGACCTCCAGGTCCCTTGGGAGAGAGAGGTCCCCAGGGAGTAGAGGGACCTCGAGGGTTCATCGGACCTCCAGGATCAACAGGAGTTTCTGGGAAAGACGGTGTTCCAGGACATCCTGGCGAGAGGGGACCACCAGTAAGTTAATCTCGATACCTAATAAGATTTAGTTTAGCAATCAGTTTTAAGATAAAATATGTGGAATAACTATACTCTTTCCTGTATAAGCTGTATGAGATAAAGGTCAGAGACGGTTTTTTTCCTTTTAAGGAATTTGAACTTAGGTAACTTGTCTTGGGTGTTAGATGAATCAGATGTTCTTGTTAAAAACTATTTAACGAGGTCCATAGGGCCTAGTTTTACCCTTATCTGTGTGGAGTTTGAAGTAAAGTAATGCCAGAATTGATCATGATGTCAATGATCGACAACTTTTATATTTAACTGTTTAAGCCAGGAGGAATACTTCTCTCTCTGAAAAAAATTCAGTATTTGATGTATTTCACTCTAACTCTAAACTAGAAAATATCTTAGTGTAAAATTTATTTCCAAACGAATAGCAATCACGTCTGCATTAGCTAATAAAAAAATCAATTTCACATTCTAGATTAATTGTAGGAATAAGAAATATACTTGGTGGTATGCTCAATATACAAAATAATAATACAGTACCATTTCTTGGGAGTATTCTTGATAATAGGTTTAGCTTTGTTTAGTGTATTTAAACGCCCAATACACGAGTTGATCTAGTATTGAAACTACCCATAACCATGTATACAAAATTCTCACAAAATGCTTAATTTTATTCCAGGGAGAGCCAGGTCCCGTTGGTCCCACAGGTGCTCCAGGAGTAGTAGGACCTCCTGGACCTGTAGGTGAACCAGGTCCTGTAGGAGAGGCTGGTACTCCAGGAAGTCCTGGAGTTCCGGGAGACACTGGACCACCCGGAGACAGTGGAAAGGATGGGCCTCCAGGACCTCCCGGAGAATCTGGGAAACAGGGACCTGCTGGAACCTCCGGACTACCTGGGTTCCCTGGGGAGAGAGGACTTCCCGGACCTGCCGTAAGTTGTTGTGTTGTGTAATGTTTGATGGAATATATTTAAATGAATAATCTGACAAATAGTTAAGTACTTAAACTTCCAGACTAGATGTGAAGTACGGTACTCTACATAATGGAGTTGGGGGATTGTAGTGCAAACTGAAAATATGATTGTAGGCAGAAAAAAACTGCAGCTGAGTTTGAATATGGTGGATTTTAAGAATTTTTCCTGAATTTTTTGTATTACAGTACTAAGGGCTTACAATGTATGTTAAGTTTCATAATATATGTTGCAACACAGAGAAGTAAGGTACAGAGGAACTTGCTTATGGGATGACTGCGCGCTCTGACATCTAGTTTGTTGTGCTGAAAATATACTTGCGACAAGCAAGGAAGAGCCTGAGCGGCGAGCACTGTGCAAAAATTCCTATTGCACTGGGCTAAGGGTCTTTCATGAGCACGATTTTGATAGTACATGTAGGCGAGGGGGGAGGGCGGTGTTGGAGGTGCCCTGGACACGAGCAACTAGTGCTAGAGTCCACCACTTAAGTGGACCATTGAATGTTTCCTCTGTACTTTACCTCTCTGTGATCGCAACCATTTTAAATAAGAAACAAACTAGTTTCTTTGGTACTGTACTTTTTACTCGAAAAAAGCATGAAAATAGGAATTCTGATATCTTACAATCATATGGCCAACAAAGGTAGCTAGCTTTTATTCATTATTGTTCTACAGGATAACAACAGAATTAAAGTTGGATTTCTTTTAATTTGGATTACTTCAGTTAACTATGCAAAAAATATATTGGTTATATGATGCTTGATTGATGTTTGTTCATGAACAGCTATGCTACACACTGTATATCAGAAAATTTCCCCTGCCTTGAAGACCGTTTGGCTCACTGGGTTTTTGTTAATCTTTAACAAGGTTTCTCAACACAACCATAGCTATGACTGATTCAGTGTTAGCTTCTTTTCATAAGCTTCTTTTCTTTTCATAAGCTGTATTATAACGTTGTGTTATGTCCTCTGTTGGGAGAGTGGTTCCAATTTTTTAATGTCCTCGAAGTTTCCTTGTGTTAATTTCAGTATGCTGATAACTAACTGATTATTAATTTATAACATTGTAACAGGGAACTCCAGGTCTGAAAGGAGAGATGGGCCCTCCAGGGCCCCCAGGCCACGTGGGAGAGAAGGGGGCCCCAGGAGAGCATGGCAGGGAGGGGCCCCCGGGGCCTGAGGGTCGCAAGGGGCCCCAGGGACCACCAGGGGCGAGTGGGGCTAAGGGAGACAGGGTGAGTACAAAGTTGATTTACTGTTCAAACTACCATATTGTTCTCCCTGTTTTGTAACTAAGAGAGAAAGAACTTTGTCTTCTTTCTTTGATCCGACCAAGGGCAAATTGTTTACACCTATTTTATTAATCTACCATTCTAATAATGCAACAGGACATTAGATTTAACTTCACAAAGAGATAGGTAAATTTGGCTATTAAATTTTGTAAAAAATGTAATCTCATACAGATACTCAGAACAGAAGATATAATATTGCTTTTCAATCTTCCTACAGGGAGATCCTGGTATTCCTGGACCGACAGGGAGAGATGGTTTTCCAGGTGGGAGAGGACTGCCCGGACCTCCAGGACCCATGGGACCTCCTGGAGAAGACGGGGACAAGGGGGATATAGGTCCCCCGGGAGAGAAAGGATTCAAAGGATCGCAGGGAGAAATGGTAACTTTCCGTGTTTTTGCACAAAATGCTTAAATGCTAACTGTTTAATAAAAGAGCATTAATTATTCACTTGACAACTTTAAACTGTTAAAGCCTTGTTACCTTTATGTACCTTTTATTTTATTACTTAAAGAAAAAACTACCACAAATAAATATTAATCCATTTGCAGTTTGTGCTGAAAATTTACGAAAATGGTTATGATTGTAATTTGAACTTTTTAATGTGCCATGATTTAACCAACTGTATATTAAAGTTTTAAAATTTTCAAAAACTGTTACAGCAAATACAGCTTGGGCAAACAACTATGTTTGGTATGTTCTTAGAAACCTTTACTACAAGGATTGCAAATCTGATACTGTCTTTGTTTCCTTATGATTTCAAATCCAATCAATTTAAAATCCTTGTTTTTTAACATACCTAGATAATAATCTTAAAAAAATTAGAATTTCCAAAACAAAAACGTATACCAGGAAAGTTTTTACAACATAAAGCAAGGATACAATCTTCTACGTATCAGGGTCCAGTGGACTTTTTTAGCATTTCTTAATTCGTTTTATATGCTATATATTAAATGTTCTGTTCTCATACCTTTATCACTTTTATGCTATGTTTTTTTGGTCTACTTTGTGTTAAATTATCTCTTTGACTTTTTGACCTATTTCTAGGGACCTTCAGGACCTCAAGGTCAGCAAGGTTTAAGAGGAGAACCAGGTCCCGTGGGACCTCCAGGAGAAAAAGGACTTCAGGGAGACATAGGGAGACGAGGCGTGAAGGGAGAAGAGGGGCCTCCCGGAACAACGGGGCCCCCTGGAGCTACTGGACCGCAGGGCCTTCCAGGCCCACCAGGGTCCAAGGGAGAAATGGGCGATTTAGGCCCCAAAGGTAACAAACATTATTTCATTTTTTATGTTAGCCTCCAGATTACATTGAATATTTGAATTAGTGTAGATACCTGCATTGCTGTTATCCAAAATGCTGCTAATTACGCAACTAGTTTGACTTTCAAGAAGTCATCTTTAGGTATACCAAAGAATGTGACAATTACTTCATCAGAATGTTGTCGATTCACTTTAGTAGACAGACATAAGAACACGAACATTAATTCGGTAAAACAGTTAATTCAAAATAAGTAAAAAAACTAATAAAAACCAGTAATGGATGTAGAGTAAAGATTTAATCCACTGGTTCATTCTTGACTTTATATCCATCTGGTCCTGACAAGTCATTCACATACCGTTGTTACTAGTTTTCATTCTCAACTGCCTTAATTTTGTGAACCGAGTATAGCCATTGGTCATTGGTCAAACAAAAGCCCAACTGTAGTATTTTTAAGCTTGACTACTAACGCATGACAAATACAGCTTTCAACCTTTTTTTGTTAGCTAATACGGAGATTTTTCTAAAAGAGGTTTGGTTATGTTACTCTTGCGGCCATCACACTCTGTGCAACTCAAATATCTTATAGTTAAAACAAATTATGCATTTCTAAAATGGTTTCTATCTACTCAAACTTGCTCTTCCTCACCATTTCTACTAACCAGTTAATCCAAATCTTTTTCACCACAGGTCCCATTGGAGCAGTAGGGTCCCCAGGAGAGCCAGGGCCTAGAGGACCGAAGGGTGTAGAGGGGATACAAGGGCCCCCAGGTTCAGAAGGGCCCCAAGGAGCAAAGGGTCAGCCAGGAGAGTCAGGGCCCCCCGGGCCCCCGGGCAGTGATGGAAAACATGTTGGTAACACAACTTACAAATATTATGGGGAAATATTGATTGAGTACAAAAAATAGATTCGTGCTGGGTTTTTTTTGTTCCTTGAATAACTTTATAGTGGTATTATAGCCTTCAGATTGCTGAAATACTGAACATTTTTTAAACTCCTCAACATGGTATCTCAGTTTCCACTGTTTTGGTGCCTTTAGTAATCTTCAAGCTAGCTCATCTCGAAAATGAAGAGCATTTGACATAAAACCACATTAGGACAGGAGACGTCTGTCGGGCCAGCTAGTTTGTTCATATTGTACTAGTGTTTATAGATAAATAAGTGCTGTTTTTTTTTTTTTAAGTAGGTAACGATCTCAGCAGAAGATCAGCGGATAGCAAACATAATTAATATTCATGTACAACCTGAATATGGCACCAATTTGGCATTAAAACCACTTTTTAAGTGCACTTTAAGAGATTACTATAAACAGATATGAATACCATGTGCTTTATGACATTTCACGTGTTGCACTATGATGAGAAGGAAGTTCCATTCCCAATAACAAAATGCAGTAAGGTCAATGACCTTTGCTGCACAGTGACTTTTTCCTCAGTCTTGTCACTTATTGTTAGTGTCTAACTCTGAAGCAATTTATGTATTTGCGTCTTTACATATTTTCCCCATGGTGTCATTGCTATAAACATAGAGATACAATATTAAATTAATTATAACTGTAGGCTACTAGTTGTTGCATCAAGTTATGAAAAAAATGCATTTACTTTTATATATTCTTTATTGTATATTTTGTTTTCCTCCGTTTTGCTGCCCATATTAATGTTAATGTTACGGTTTATTAAGTTTTAGCCGTATACCAAGATTTAAAATATTTGTATGTTATACCAATCTATTCTCTATTGCCATGTTTAGGACTACTATAATCAATTTTAACATTTTTATATTAGGCATCTATATCACTACAGTATTGGCAAATATTTTGTGAACAAAATGCAATTAATTTTATAAAAGTCAAGTAATAACTTCAAATAGCAATCAAGTAAGGAAAAGCCCTTACTTGATTGTTATTTGAAGTTATTCCTATTATTATTAAGGAAACCTTTGGTTTTCTTCATCTTCTGAAGTTCAATTGATTTTCCTCAGGGTGAAAAAGGATCAGCGGGACAGAAAGGGGATGAAGGCAAACCCGGAATCCAAGGACCTCCGGGTCCAAGAGGTGGGGTAGGCCCAGAGGGACCCAAGGGTAGTGCTGGTCCCCCAGGATTCCCAGGTCCACCTGGAGAACCTGGACTACAGGGTCCCAAAGGAGACAGAGGACTAGACGGTGACGATGGAAAACCCGGAGAAACGGGTCTTCCAGGAGAACCAGGACCTCCCGGAAAGATGGGACTGACTGGTCCTCCTGGAAAAGTGGTGAGTCTTAGAATCAATAGCAGCACTGTGTTTGAGTTAACTCATTTAGGGATCAAAGAGGGGCCTCAATCGAGTAAATTTCACTATAACAAATCATTTTTATGCTAACTAAATTTGTTAGGAGATTACAGAAGTTTTGCTTGCCTGAAGATAGTTAGTTATAGAGATGTGTTTGATGAATAAGTTTTTCACATCCTATGCATAATGGTCTTTTCTATGTTATGTGGAAAAATTTATTAGGGCCTTAGTAAAATAATGAAAAATAAGATAGTGATGAAATTTTTATGTTTATAGAGTTGTTTGGTAAAATTACTGCAGTGGGTTCCCCGAAATTACAAACATAGAATATGTTAATGTTTTTGTTTGTAAGGGAGCGGAAGGACCAGCTGGACAACAAGGGAATACAGGACTCCCGGGAGAGAAGGGAGACAAAGGATCTCCGGGACCTTCCGGGCTGACAGGTCCTGAGGGACCACAGGGACTTCCCGGACCCCAGGGAGCAACAGGACCTCGAGGTTCTCCAGGACCTGCGGTAACTATAACTTTTTGTCAATATAATTAATTGTCATCAACATATAAAAATTCATATTTGGTTTTATAGAACATTTTGGTGTGTTTTTTATATGAATTATCCTGAAACACTAGCCACAGATATAGTCTCAAAACCATGGTTTCATCTTTTATCAAGCAAATAAGAAAGTCAATAAAAGGTAAAAGGAACACAAGACTAAGCATAGAATAGAGCTGAAGACAGACTATAATAGTGGTAGGAAAAGAAAACAAATACTGTGCTGTTAACAGATAATATCTAACAGATGATTATCTGTTATTAACAGATAATATCTAACAGATGATATCTAGCTTGACGAGAGTATGTTGGAAACCATTATTTATTTATATATACTAGAATTTTGATTATCTTTAGCTTCTAGTTAGTAATTTAGAACAATAAAACCTAACTCCCATATAATACATAGATCTAAAATTATCCTTGTTAAGTCTTATAATAAAAATATATGGAAATTCCAGGGTGATGCTGGAAACCCAGGAAAGTCTGGGAATGATGGACCTCCTGGAAAACCAGGAGACCCTGGACCTCAGGGGCAAAAGGGAGACCGAGGGAAGAGGGGGATGAAGGGGCATAGAGGAGACATCGGACCCCCCGGGGGAAGAGGGGAACCTGGGGAGAAGGGGGACTGTGGAGACAAAGGAACGCCTGGACCTGAGGGGACCAAGGGAGAACTGGTATGTGGTGATATAGAAATACTACAAAGAGCAATGATAATCAAAAGCAACAGGGAAGTCTTAAGGATCCTTGTAAGCCTTTCATTACAATAAAGTAGCAAACTTTAGAACTGGGCAGTTCAGATTTCTCAGCTAACCTGCAAAAAATTGTTGCCTAAGATCCACAGAAACCCTTGCCTTTGTTATTCACAAACGTGGTAGCAGACTGTAGAGCCTGGTTATTATTTTTTTAAGAGGTTGGCGGTCTCTTTTAACCTTGCATTTGCCCGTCCACATAGACTAACCACCCGTGCGTGGAACGTTTACAGCAAAGCAAGGAGTGAGCCAGTACAGTACAAAGGTGAACTGTACTGATATATTTTAGTGGCAGTGACCAGGATCTGAACCCACGACATCGCTGCCTTGGGCCTGAAGTCCGCGACGCTACCAACTGAGCCACCGACTCACTAGAAATTAGATTGCCTTAGTCATTTGGACTTAACGATACTTGCAGACGTTGAGACCGGGTCATGCATACCTATGGCGACCAGATGAGCTATCCAGCCAGTATGTTGATTAATTACAACCATAAACATGATTACTCAATCCAAGAATAGTTTTGACCATCGATAATTATGTTGATATTTGCAGTTGAATCAAATGTCAGACGCATGTATTTCCATCTGACATTAACTGATGAGGCTTAGTATTTTTGTATCTATAAACTGTAGATTTTGAACTAATCCTAAATTCTCATCTACAAATTTTGATCTAAAATACAAACCCTTTTAAACATGACGATCCTTCCTTCTTTGTCTTAATTTTATTTATTTAATTTGAAAGATTTTCAATTCCAGTTTGTTCAGTAAACTGTCAACCAGCAGTGCTCAATACAGCTGACTGTTTAGGGCCCCACAGGTCCAGCTGGGCTGAAGGGTAACGATGGGATCCCAGGAGCTTCAGGGCCAGAGGGGCCTCATGGGCCCAAGGGGTCAGACGGGCCCACAGGCAACAAGGGTGAGCCGGGGCCCCCTGGGCCACCCGGACCTCCAGGGCCTCCAGCGGAGATGCCACTCTTGCCTCCAGAACTTCTCTTTGGCGCTGAAGACCCTAGTGGACGGTACAGGAGGTCTGCTGAAAAGTAAGTAGAATTTGATAGGGTATATTCTTCTTGGAAAATTATTATTACCTGACACTATTAAAGTTTAAGCATACCACGAGTGCTGGACTTTAAATCCAGGAAATGAGTATATAGAGCTTTAGCCGGGCTTCTAAAATGTTGGGGCAGAGGTAATTACTATGCTACGTTCAAGGGAAAATACTACCGTATTACAACTTACAAGTTTATTCTTATTAACGCTTTTTATCCTTAGAGCTCTGAAGAGTGCTTTATTCAACACAAGAGCAAAATAATTAAACTTACATTTACAACCATCTATGCGAGTATTACTGATCAAAACACAATTTTGTTGAAGAGATGGAGAAGAAGCTTCAACTGAGAAGGCCAAAAGAAGGAAATCGGAGAAGAAAACACGAGAGCAACATGAGGCTGGTCCTCAATTTATCGACATCTACAGCTCGATCTACGCGATGAGACAAGATCTCGAGCGAGTCCGTAAACCTGTCGGGACAAAGGACAATCCTGCAAGAACCTGCAAGGACCTGTTTTACGGACATCCACAGTTCACCGATGGTACGTAATTTGATATACATCATAATTTTTTTTTAATTCTCAAGGAAGTAAATTTCCAATTTAAATACAGTGCCAGAAAAAACTTGTCTACTCAATTTAGGTATGCACATTGCTTAGTGCTTATCATGTCTAGCAAATATGGCTAATAGTTGAAAAAGGTAAATAATTATCCCAATACAGATTGTACAGTCACAGAGATGTAAGGTACAGTGGGGTGCTACAAAAGGTCAACAGGCCGAAGTAGTAAGAGGTAGGATTACCCCAAACCCCCCCACCCCCCCACCAAAAAAGGTGCAGAGGAAACATGCTTATGAGACGACCCTGCACTTTCAGCTCTAGTATATAGTGTGCTTTCTTACGTACAAGATAGGGCCAATGAACTTGTGATGAGCAATGGAAAAGCCTGAGCGGCAAGCACTGTGTGGAAGCTCCTATCGCACAGAGGACAGGGTCTTCCTCCAGTATTCACGTTGTAGTATGTGATGGCGAGGGGAGAACAAAAGTGAGGGGGGTTAGGAAAAGCGAATAGTGCTGGACTTTACTTGAGTGCACTATTGAATGTTTCCTTTGTTGTACTGTTGAATCATCTAGAGGAATGAAACCAGTCTTTCTCCAAAACTGTCTCCTTTGGAAACTTTTCCAAGACATTAACCTCTAGGATAACAAAACGCCCAATGTTATGTAACTATTTTTTCCACACAGTGAGAAAAATCTTATCCAATCTCCTACCATCGCGCAAGAATCATTGTCTTTTCCACTAATGGCTCCACTGATCTGTTTCCACAGGCTGGTACTGGATCGATCCAAACCTAGGGATGCCGGACGACGCTATCTACGTGTACTGCAACATGTCTGCGGCTGGCGAGACCTGTATCTTCCCGGACATCCACTCCAGCCAGATGCCTAACATTCCGTGGCGCAGGGAGAGAGATCAGGGAGGATGGTACTCAACACTGCGAGGCGGCTTCAGGGTAAGGGATGAATGGATAAAATCTTTGATTGAGGCAAACTTTGGATCCTCATAGTCTTTTCATACACCTATGAAGGATCAGTGATGGATGGTTGTCATTAAGTTTATATCCTTTGTAATGAACTTGTACTTATTCCAGCCAGCAGTTTTCAGTCAGCATAAAAAAAAATTGGTCTGTTAAAGCCAGACTTAGTTTTCAATATATACTTGTTAATTTTTATCATAGCAGAATCCTATTTTCCCCCCGAAATACTTGCTTCAGGTCTACAACTAGCTTTACCAATCAACCTAATTTAATTTAAATTTTGATCCACACCTCAACATAAGAGAACTAATGAAAAACCAGGATGAGCATACAATGTGAATCTGCCAAACCAAGATGGCTCATACATGAAGATACGTATGGATATTGAGTTATCCTTACTTTAATTACGTTTTGCTACCTATAAATAATTGATTTACCTACCCCACAATTCTTTCATGATCTAAAAAATGTTTTTCCACACCTGGGTATTGAGAAATCCTTATTTTCTCTATCTCCCTTATGTGCCGCTACATCTAGACCATTTTTCCTCCTCATATCCACTTCACTTTCATGATTACTCAAAATGTGTTTCCCAGATTACGTACGAGACAACGGGCATAGTGCAGATGACATTCCTCCGGCTGCTTCACGAGGTCGGTTATCAGAACTTCACCTACACATGTATCAACAGTGTGGCCTGGGAACTTCAGGGAAGCGAACACAACCTGGCGTTGCGACTCATGGGAGATAATGAGCAAGAGTTTACCTACGAGTCCAACCGGCCCAATATCATCACTGACGGATGCAAGGTGGGGAAGTTCACAAAAACCATCATATCAAAATTAATTTGTATGAAATATCCTGTAATTGTTGACAATCACCATGTACAATTATGTCATTGACTTTGGATCAGGCTAGTGGATTTCTCAAGGTATTAGAAAATCTTAACTCTTTCAGGCTACAGCGCAGCTGTCTGGTTCAGTGGCAGTGGCTACAAAATGGCACGGTTTTCCACCGTCGCCGTCACTCTATAATGTGAAAGCCCTCATGCTCTTCTTAACACAACTAAAATTTTACCCGTACAGTTTTCAACCGTGTAAAAAGGGCGAAATATATTTTGGTTTATACTTAAAATTAGTTATTTTTGTTTACGCCACACTACATTATTTTGACGAACTTCCCACGCAAGGATTTAGTCCAGAAAACAGCTGATTGCCGCCAGCTTATTCAAATGGTGTTTCATTGCGTACTACTGTACTGCAATGAGTTTTACCGGACACCAATCAGCTGATTATACTGTATTTAGATGGAAGTGAGTGGTTATAAACAAAAACATAACCTCTCTTAGAGGTCATGACTAGTGATTTTTAGACCTTTAGTTGGTGGAAATATATAAGGATTTGTATGGATTTAGTTGTATGGCGTAAACTATCGTACGTAACTCGTCCAAAATGTGTGTACCGGACTCGTATGGTGATCCCACACTCGTCCGGTAAACACTTATTTCAGGACTAGTAACGTAATATACTATTACGTGATTTCATTACCAGTAATGATCTTATTTTGTTTCAGACGAGAAAATCAAAAAGTGAAACAGTGTTTGAAGTGAGGACTAAAACTCTTGAACAAGTTCCGATCGTGGACTTTTACCCGATGGATTATGGTCTGCCCCACCAAGCTTTTGGATTTGTCGTTGGCCCAGTGTGCTACAAATGAGATGTCCTGATGTGTTAAGTTCTAAAGATAATTTTAAAACTTATAAAACTGCCAGAAACCAAAGAAGCACTGCCATTTTATAGTGGATTGTTAATGTTTTATCAATGCATTGTGATTTTTTTTAACACTTAAAAAACACTTAAAACAATAATTTCTATTGATATTGGTTGCCTTTTAAGTTTTATCATAAATTGAAATTTCTTAGACGAGTTAAAACATAACAATAATGTTGGTATAGTAAAATTAAGTGAATCCTAAAACAGTAATAAGTTGATTTAGAAGAGTAGAAACTGTTGGAAATTGTTTAAAATTGTGAACTAACCAAAGTTGAAGCATGAGTACGGTTGTATCTAAATCCGCTACTTTAAAAATTAATTGTTAAGGTATAGGATTGTAAAGTATCAATTGAACTAATTATCGATAAAGTGTTGATTTAATATTTTTTCTGTCAATCTAACAGTCATAATAAATTGTTTTTAGCCACTAGGAACACATTTGTATAACCATGTTTACTGTTTAGATTTGTTAAGGCAAAAATGACAATTTCCTTTCTTTAAAAGTTAGCAACATTTTTCACCACTAAACTGTTATTAACGCAAAGCTGTTCAGAAAAACTAAAACCTAGACTTATTGCTCTTGCTGAAGAACTGTAGATGTCTTACTAAAAAATTGTCGTATACAATGTAATTTCCATGTTTATATGCAAAAGTAAAGACTGTTACTTAATCTAAATCTGTGCTTTTTTACACAAGGCCCAAATTACATAATCTTAACACACACCTTAACAAACATATTACCTATAATGACCATAACACCTTCTTAAATATAATATAGGGTGTATAATCTAGTGAGAACACATTAACATTGAATTTAGATACTGCAAGTAAACTTCTCACCCTATTCTAAAATCTGAAGCCAATTTGAATATGTGTAGTGTGCTGAAATAGACTAAGTATGTTTTCCTTATTTTAGGGTAAATATGTAAATTTATTTCATTTACTCTTTGGTAGTAGTGCCAGTGCCAGACGACAAGCAGTAGTTTACATAAACAGATAGTTTGTCGGTCAAAATAGTTTTAAAGTGGGTAAAGTAAAAGCATAGATAAAACATACTCCCTTAGTAGATTTCTCATCCTTATGGAACAGCTGAAGACAATTTTATTGTTAGTTCTGTACGGTTTATGTAGAGGTCGTGTTTTGTTTACAATTTGTTTCCCGTTATTACAGCCATTTAAAACCTCGTTTAACCAAATAATACGGTCTAATCATAAACAATAACTTGTCCCCTAGTTATATAACCAAACGTAAAGCACAAATCAAGAAATTAACCCTAAAATAATGTAAACAAAGTTTCATCAACACTAGCGCCTTTGTGTCACGTACATGAACTAGACACGAAAAACGTGCTTCAAAATTTACAATGGGATGAGAATTCTACTTGTGTTGGTTAGTCTATGGTAAAAGGAAATTATTAAAAAACAATATCCACTCTGAGGCACAAATATGTTTTCAGCTGTTCCGTTAGGTTTAATAATGTACTAGGGGAGTATGTTTAATCTATTGTATTCAACAATTGTCTGGGTAGCAGAGTGTTTGCCTTCAAATCTGAAGTTCGCTGGTTCGATACCTAGTATGGTTGTTACCAGATCCAGATGCAATATTTGCCATAGGGCTATCTACTAATGATGCTTATAACAAAAAGTTTACTTTAGAAACCAGGGTTTGAACCATTCTTTTACAAAAAACTTTAAAAATGCCACCGACGTTGATACACACAAAAAAACTATAGAATAATTGTATATGTGTGAAATTTAGTCTTCATAAACCATTCCACACCTTGAAGCAATTTTAAAACAGCATGATTAAAAGCTAATAAAAACCCTAAAATAGCTGAGTTTAAAAGGAATCAAACAAATTGCAAACTGTTAACTGTTACTTTGGCTTTAATTGAACATCCAATCCAAAACATATCAGTACACACCCTAATGACACCAAATCTTATCAGTGAAAAGATTAGAGACACAGAGAGGTTTTCACAGTGATTTATTAACATTATTGCCGAGAGGCGCTAACACAAACATTGCTTAATAAATATTGCAGCAGCTTATTTACAACAGATCATGAGGCAATACTGTACATTTCAAGTTCTCTTGGCTCTTGTTTACATGGATGCGAAGACTACGGTCAGAACAGCTGTAGCGGCACACAGGATGTATCCGGTCGTGTAAACGTCCTTGATGGTCAACGCTTTACCGAAGTCCCACACCTGAAAAATTTCATCCTTAAAACTCCACAGTGGACTCTCAATACTCGTTTATGCTGAATTAAAATTCTGTTTCATTATAGATTACAGATTACTAGATATTATGATAATTAAAAGTTAAAAATAATGACTACCTTACCTGGTAAAACCCAGATACATACGTCTCAAATAAAAACTAACTTTAAATATACTGTAGACCTCCTCTTAACCAACCATACCCATACCATATAGGTCAAACTCAAAAGGTCGGTTAGAACATGCAATTCCTACAAAATTAAAAATTTAAGTGCTACTAATCTGGAATTATATAATCATTATTCTGAAGTAGTGTGTGCATTATTTACAAAATAAACTAGGTACATTTGTCTCCTTTTTTTAGGTATTGGCAACAGTGGTGTCACAAATAAACCCAAAAAAACACAATAAAATAAAATACTCTCAGTGGAATAAATTAGTCGTAGTCAATAAAAATTCTTATTTTAAAACCTCCAATAATATTAATTTATGCTTTCCAAATCCTAATACAGTACAGAACTTACTATCAAAATTAAAGATACAAGCAACCATTTTGTTTCGAGACAGGATGTCTATTTAGGACAATTAAAAAATAAATTAAATTCTTAGTACGGTAACATCCTGTAGAGTTTAGCGTATTGTTCCCATCGCCGAGCCTGGGGGCAAAAGTGCCGAAATTCCTAGAAAACAGTTAGGCCTAAACCAAAAAGTTCTCAAAACAAGGTCGGTTAAAACAAACAGTAATATTTTACGGATTGTCTTATATTAATCATGGATGTTAAGTTAAAGATGTTAGCTAGTCTGCTAACTTGCATGTATTTTTTTTTTTACTTGAAAGTTTAAAGTTAGCGGATTAGTCATTAAAAAAAAAACACAAGTTTGATCCTTTTAAATTTCACATAGTAAATGTTATTTTTTATCAACACTGAACAAAAATGTTTCCCAATTCAATCTCTGACATAATACGAAAAAAAATTTATACCACCTTATCTAAACATTCAAAAAATAAAAATTAGCTTTTGATACTAACCAGATGTCTGATGCCGTTGCACAAGTGGTAGGAGACTGGAAGTGAAAGTATAAGTTTAGAAGTGAAGACGACAGGCGCAGCAATGTGCATAGCTTGTATCGCCTCCACCATGTGAGGGAAGCTACCGGGCGACAGCGAGACTGTGACAAAATAATACTTAAATAGACAACAGATTATCAATATTTGACACTGTAAGAAGTAAGAACTCTACTCACTGACACTCTACTTTTAGCACATTTCCCTATAGGGAAGTAGCTAGTTACCATAGGTAGTACGGTATGACCTAGGCCCGGGACCGATTTACTTTATCATTTTCATGTCCCCAGAGGCCAAAAACATCATTCGCTCAAATTTTTATATATGTATATATGTACGTCCGTGAACGCGATAACTTTAGTAATTTTTGTCCGATTTTGATGTAATTTGGTTTAAGTAAGGCAAGATAAACTTGAATGAGTTTGCAAATCAGCATGATCGGACCATGGGAACTAGAGGTGAGTCGGGACTGCAGTATCTGATACTTTGTATCGGATACTCGCCAGTCCCGTGTGTAACTGTTACTCAAAACCAAAAGTATCTGATACTGGAGTACTCGTTTCTACTATTGAGTACTGGTACTGCTAAGCCTTCAATCCAGTACCAGGACTCGTCTCGGGTCTCAGTTTAGTAGTAGCCTACTCGTTAAAACTTAACTGAGTATTATAGCTGAAAATACCATAATCATTTGTTAGTAATAGCAAATTCCACAAATATGAAAACTGCTTTCACTGATCACTATAAATGAATAAACTGCTTAAGAACACATAGTAATCATTTTGTAAAGGAACCGAGTACTACCAGTGGTATCCACTAATGGTATTTGGTATTATACTGATACAGGAACACTCTACGGGTACAAAATCCCGTCGGCCGTGATGAGTACTCATGACTCATGAGTACAAAGTAATCATCAAAAGTAACTGATACTCGAGAGTACCAGTACCGGTAGTAATCAGTATTTCGATGTACTCATTTAGCCCATCTCTAATGGGAACTGGGTTTTACGGGGGGGGTTTATGGGGTAAAAAATGGTTTTTCTAATTGTTGACCCTCATACACAAAATTCCCAATTTCTCTCAAGACCAAAGAGCTTGAAAAAACAAATAATTTAGTACTAGTGTACCTGTTGCTCGAATTCGAGCAATTGCGAAGCATTACAGGCGACTCACGAAGATTATGGAAATACTCACGATCTACGCAACAGTTAGATATAATCAAAATCTTTTGTAAATACATATCTTATCTTTTCTCAAAAAGCTGATCTTGTTTTTTAGTGTTTCTACAAATTTTTCCCTCTCATAGCCGCCTTAGGTTGTCTATAATAAAGATTATATAAAAAAAAAACATTATTTCTTTTCTTCTACTTGGTTGTGTTCTATGACTTGTTCTGTTTCCATTGTTTGCAAATCGGTTATTTCAATGATTGCTCAAGAAATGTAGCATATTGTCAACTCAGTTTTATTTTTAGCCTATAGCAAATTGTCCAGGATTTCTCGCTTTTTTCCATTGTAATAATTTCACCAACCCAAGTTTCGTCTACAGATGCAATACGCCAAAGAAACCTACGTACAATCTCCAAGAAGTGGTAAAAAAAGGCAGAAACCAAGCCATACAATAGATATAAGTTAACTCCATAAGAAATAATTTTAAGAGTTACTGTAAAAATTAGGATTTTCCACTGATTTGGTAATAGAACATTATATTGCAAAACATGACACGATGCAGAATAAAATCGATTTTAAAATCAGAAAAACCCATTGCAAATACTGTACTTCATTTTGAAAAATTCAATAAATCACAATTTAAATATTAACAGCTGTTTCATTAAAAAGTAGTGTAGAATTATGCATATGGTAAACAAATTTGAAGAGGCAACTTTAAAAGCTTCTGGGGCAGAGCCCCAAGGGAATTTACCTCGTTCCTCTTTTGATGGCTCATCTATAGACCAAGACCTTTCTTTAGAGACCCCTACCAAGTTTCTACGCCCAGCCGTTCTCTGTAATTAGCTGTGACAAAACCCCGTTTTTCCTCCATAAGAATAACATGGGATGGGAATTCAAAGGCCAGTGGGGCAGAGCCCCAAGGGAATTTACCACGTTTCTCTTTTGATGGCTCATCTACAGACCAAGACCTTTCTTTAGACACCTCTACCGACTTTCTACGCCCAGCAGTTCTCTAAATTTAGCTATGACAAAGAAAAACAGTTTTAAATTAATATATAGATATCAAAGTGTTTTTGTACCGTTATTGGTAACAAAGAAAATTCAAAAAAATTGAAATTGAAAATTCCGATGTTATTCTTATGGAGATTATTGTGAAATGTCGTAGTTTGCTTGTTTATGGATATATTTTGATCAAACTTGGCAATTTTTTTATTTTATTTTATACTAAGCTATTAATATTTTACAAAAAACCACACTTTATTAGTCTCCTTGTAGCAGCAAACCTAGGTACTTGTTAAACCTAATGTTATTTAAATAGATTTGATTCAAAATTTATTCAGACAAATGGAAATTCGCTTTGTCGACAGGTTTGCTGCAGTGGGGGTATTTAACATTGTAGCTGTAAAAACTGTAAATGGTAACGGTTCTCAGAATTCATCCACATATCATAGACAATAGACAAGTCTAGACCCAAGACTTGAAGCTTCAATTGTTTTCTTTATGATTCCCTAGTCCTTGAAGTGAACTGTGGTGATTGATTGACGACACTCCGATGCAAAGACCTACAAGATACAGCTTTTTGCAAGAACTATTGAGAAAAAAAAACTGTTTTAGCGAATTTCCCATATAGGGAATAAGCTATTACCGTAGTACTCATGGTAAGACCTGGACCCGGGACCGATTTTTTTTTCGTTTTGAGGTCCCTAGAGGCCAAAAACACCATCCGTTCAAATTCATATATATATACACAATATATATATTCATATATATATATTCATATATATATAGGAACACATACAAGCGTTAAAATCAGGTAACAAAACTACAATGAAATCAAATTTTGCAGAGCACCTAATCGAAACTCGACATGAGTACAAAAATATAAATGAAAATTTAGAAATTCTAGAATATGAAAGAAATAAAACAAAATTAAATGTCAAAGAAGATTTTCATATATACAAAAATTACAAAAAATACCCTCAAAATTTATTGAATACCATGAACATAAATAAAACAAATCCGATATTTGAAAAAATCCTACAGTTGCAATAAAACTAAAACATTATATAATATACACAAAATTAAACAAAGATTAAATCAAGATCCTCTAAATTCTAAGTTAACTTAACATATGACTATTTATTCCTTTCATTAATTATTTTGTTATTGTATTTGTAAATGTAAACATGACTATGACCTAAGTGTTGAAACATGTCGTTTATTAATTAAAAATGAATTTAAAAAGGGTACTTATGTTTTTATAATGTTTTCAATTATTTATATATTAGTAGCCCTAACCACAATCATACTTAATATATATTTATATATATATATATATATGTGTCCGTTAGCGCGATAACTCGAGCAAAAATGATCCGATTTTGATGAAATTTGGTCAAACGTGTAAACCTACGTTTATTCGAACGAGTTCGCGAACCAGCATGATCGGACTATGGGAACAGGGGTTTATGGGGGCTTTTATGGGGTAAAAATGGGTTTTTCCTATTTTTGACCAAAAAAACATAAAATTTTAAAATTTCTTTCCAAACTATTTTGTAGAGCTTAAAAAAACAAATAATTTAGTATATTGAAGCGTTATAATGCACCTAATGGTTACGGAGAAAATTCCAAAAAATTGTTAATTTAAAATTCCCATGTTATTCTTATGGAGAATAAGTAAACCGTTGTAGTGTGCTTGTTCATTAACATATTTTGCCCAAATTTGGAAAATGTTTTTATTTCTTACTAACTATTAACATTTTACATAAAAAAAAACACTTTTACCCTCCCTGTTGCAGCAAACCTAAGTATGTGTTAAACTGATTCTATTTAAATCCTACTAATATTATAAATGAGAAAGTTTGGATGTGTGGATGTATGGATGTATGGATGTATGTTTGTGACAAGTGAACGCGAAAAATACATGTCGGATTGGCCTGAAATTTGGCATGATGATAGCTCACATTCCCGATTAACATATAGGCATATTCTTATTTCAAAAATCCTTTCGGGCTCCGCCCCAGTGTTTCAATTAAACAAGTTGGTTCTGTTCTATGATGTTAAATAGCATTAAAGTTACAAGGATTACCAACAGGGTGCAGCACTATTATTTCTTTTACATTTATGACAACAGCTAATTTGCAACCAAAAGGTGAGTGAGCGTAGCGAACGAACTTCAACCTGGAGGCGAGTTAGCGTAGCGAACGAGCTAACCTGAAGGCAAGTGAGCGCAGCGAACGAGCTCCAACCCAAAGGTGAGTGAGCTTAGCGAACGAGCTCCAACCTAAAGGTGAGTGAGCGTAGCGAACAAACTTCAACCAGGACGTGATTGAGCCATGCGAACGAGATAATCTTGAAAATTAAGAAGTTAAACGGGGCAAAGCTAGTTACAGCTAGTAGGGAATAAATGTGATATTTTTAAGGAGACATTTTAGTCTAAATCCAATCAGGCAAATGGAAATTCGCTTAGTCTGCAGGTTTGCTGCGGCGGGGGTATTTTTTTATTATGCCTAAAATTATTGTTTTGAACGACCAATTTGAACACTACAAGGCTTCATAAGTTGAATTTTCAGGTTAACTTAAAGATTAAATTTTAGCGTTATTGTTGGTAGTCAAGTGTTTGAGGCAGACAATCTCCTTGTCCCTTAGAGTGTCAGAATATCAAAAGCTAATTGTACAATAAATAATACCTAAGATTCAAAAAATGCTCAGAACTCAAGACTTACATGCGGCAAAGCCAAGAGCGTAAACAGACAGTGCCACGCCGGTGATCCGATGAGTGATGGACAACATGGAGGTAAGTTGCGGTTTGTAGATGAGGAGGTGGGGGGACATCGGCCGCTTGAGCCGCATGTTCTTCTGATCGTGAGATTCTGTGACTGGAGGTTGTACTTGGATTACCCTCATCGTAACGGGTCGAATCCTAAAAACAGTTTTATGTGAGAATTCTATGGGTTGACCAAAATAAAAGTTATCAAAAAATAGAAAACAAGACTTTTAATATTTTTTACAATATTATCAGAGATATTCTATTTAATACGAACATTCAGCTAGGAAAGTTTTTTAGGGTACAAGAATTATTTTTATGCAATAGAAAGAGATACGATAAGTTAGTAGTTTACAAGAACAAAATCATGGAACATTTAACTTGTAGTTTGAATGTTATTAAATGTAGATGAATTAATTTAATTATAGTTAAGAAAGTAGATAATATTATCATTAGGCCTAACTTAGATAATTTCATACAATTTCATATTAGGCCCACGTACAATAAGAAACTCTCTGAATAAGAAACATTCTTGACATACTGATACCATTTTTTTTTTTTTTTTTTTTTTTTTTGCTAGTGTCTATGCCAGTGGCATTTTTAATAAAGTTAACATAAAAGCTTTTAAATGGGAAAACGGTCCAAACCCATTAAAAGTTTTGTTTTGGACTTTGCTCACTATATTCCCGTTGCACGACAAAATTAATTAACCCTACATTGAACAATAAAAGGGTTGCGAAACTCTATTATACTATACTAGTTTTATCAACAGAAAACATTGTTTAAAAGTGAGGTCCAAAATTAACATCTCGGATAGTCTTAATGTTTTGGAAGATAACTTTAAACATCACCTGGGACTGACAAAAATTGTTGCTTTAAAATAACTTAATAGACATATCCATCTAAAAATAAACGGTATCAGCATTCTGACACATACTTTCTCCCATAAGTTTGTCAACAACCTTTATCATGTGTAAGCGGTGAGAGTAAATATACGGAAATGGAATTTGTACAATTTTGTTCAGAATGTAAAGGACTATAACATACTAAATTTTTATCAAACTCGTTTAAACTTTTAAATTTTTATCAAAATTATTCGGGCCATTTTTGGAAAAATCCGATTTTTCCGTTATTTTATGGGGTTTTTATGGGAAAATAACATAATTTAAAATAACTTTTAGACCGTAATTTTTACAGAAATGGGATTTGCACAATTTTTTTCAGAATATAAAGGACCATAACATACTAAATTTTTATCAAAATCGTTCGTGCCGTTTTTGGGAAAATTCTATTTTTCCGTTATTTTATGGAGATTTATGGGAAAATCCCCATTAAAAATCCAAATTTCTAAAAAATTGAAAAAACTATCAAAATTGTAAGGACCATAACATACTATGTTGAATAAAAACAGGATTTTTTTTCTAAAATCCTATTTTTCGTTATTTTATGGGGTTTTTATGGGAAAATAACATAATTTACCATAACTTTTGAACCGTAATATTTAGAGAAATGGGATTTTCACCAGTGTGTTCAGAATTTAAAGGGCTACAACATACTAAATTTTTATCAAAATCGTTCGGGCCATTTTTGAGAAAATTCGATTTTTCCGGTTTTTATGGGTTTTTATGGGAAATCCCCATTAAAAATCAAAATTTCTAAAAAATGAAAAAAACGCCTAGAGATACCATGGATTAGAACCTACATACCAAATTTCATCGAAATCGGACCACAGGTGTAGTCTCTAGCTCTGTACACATCCAGACACACAGACACACACACACACACACACAGACATCACTTCGAAAACCACTTTTTTGGGTCCAGGGGGACCCAAAACGAATATATCCACTCAAAACTCAAACTCGAAAATTTTGACGAAAACAATACCTACTTTCTCCATATACTATGGTATAGGGGGAGAAAGTAAAAAGATGTCTAAATAAGTATTTTTAAGTGTTTTATTTTATTATTACATCAAAGCCTAAGTTATTTTTTACTTACTGGTACACTGGAAACCGGCATACTGATGTTTTCACCAGACTGTTAGCTCCAATTAAGCTGAAATAATACAAATATTTAAAATTCTAAAATACTGTAACTTGTAGCTTAGAGCCTAAGGTTGAAGAAATTGATCTGTAGCCTATTTAGCCTGCATAACTTAGGTAAGTTCTAGGGTACCTACCTAACGTATTTATTTTCATAATACTTTTGGGTAAACCTAATTCTACACCAATGAGTTTGTTTAGGCCTAAGTAACTTAAGTTACCATACTATGATGTTGGTGTGACATTGCTATTATATTTACCATTGTTCGGTATTAAATATTGTTAATTATCGCTAGCTGAAGGATAACGATTGTATTTTTTGTAAGTAACGTTCCATGGACCGGACTAATGCCATGGTAGCCTAATAACTGTACCTAATAAAAAAAAGTGTAAGTAAGCCTACACATAAAGGCTGCACTTTACTTTACGTCCTACACTCGTTCGAATGAAAATATCGATTATTCGATTGTTTCATTCGATATATCGTTTGGTTAGTTAGGTTAGGTTACCCTTACCTAACTAACCAAACGATATAGGTAACTTAACTTATCGAATAATCGATATATCAATCGATATTTTCATTCGAATGAGTGTAGGACGTAAAGTGCAGCCCACATAAAAACTGTACAGGCGCACCTTTATGAAATGAAATGTTAATAATTTATGAGATAGTGCAACAGCTGCCAGTAGGCAGAGACTGTCGTATAACCACTTTTGTCTCACCTCGGTCTCAGTGCCGGATTTACCACTAGGCTGGGCCGCAAGCAAAAGGCATAGGGCCACAGGTACCCTGAATCCGGCACTGTGCGGCCTTGTATTAAAGGAGGCTAAGGCCTAAGCCTAACTAATGTGAAGCAAACCTATTTGTTTGTGCCTGCTGCAGCAAACTTTAGATATTCTAGCCAATTTGGCTGCACTTTACTTGACGTCCTACACTCATTCGATTGTTTTTTTTTCGATTCGATATTTTCATTCGATTGTTTCATTCGATATATCGTTTGGTTAGTTAGGTTAGGTTAACCTTACCTAACTAACCAAACGATATATCGAATGAAGCAATCGATTAATCGATATATCGATCGATATTTTCATTCAAATGAGTGTAGGACGTCAAGTAAAGTGCAGCCGCCAATTTATAGGGTAGAAGGGGGGAATTGGGTATTAGGGGTAATTGGGTATGAACTTTTTTGAATTTTTTTAAAAAATACATGCCTTTTATTAGAAAGAATTAAAAAATCTGTAGTGATAGCTAGTTATGTTTTATAAACCTCAAATTTATTTTAGGTTGTTATCTTGAAATTGAAACGAGTTAAAAAATAGTTTGTTCACCCCTTACGTTTTTCAATTTTTAAAGTGCCTATCAAACTTGGCCCGAGTAACCTTGGAAACACTATAAAAATTTCAGTTACTGCAAAATATTTACTTTTATCTCATAAGAGCAAAGTATACATACTAATAGTAATTTTCTGAAGTTTAGGAATTTTTTAATTGACTTTTAAGTGTATTTTTTAGGGGTTGAAAATGTTAGTACCCAATTGCCCCCTCATGGGAAAATGGGTACTAGATTTTTTTTGCCTGATAACAATACATCTGTTTTTTTTTTAGTTAGAATATGCTTTTAGGGGGTAGTTAAGAATTGCTTTAGGTTGGTATGACTTCTGTGCATTGAATATTAAAGAAATTATGGCTTAGTACCAGGGCCGTGCTGGGACCCTCAAGAGGGCGCTGGACAAAGTGTCATGAGGGCGTCAACCAAAAACCGGGGGGTATGGAATACCCCCCGTGGGGCGGGGGGTCCGGGGGTCCTCCCCCGGAAAAATTTTGAAATTTTAGGTCTAAAATTAGTAGTTTTTAACCTCTTTTATGCTATTTTGACAAGAAATTATATTTATATTTATAAACTATTTATTTAAAAAAATATTATTTCAGCCAGAAAATTACCATAATTTTTTCAGGGTTTAAAAATATTGCAGTCATTAGTATTGTGTTAAAAACATTTAATTTGCTTAAAGTTTATTAAACATACATGTAATACGGCTACATGAGAAAACGTGCTTTGTTTATTTATTAAATGCCTTTATGCCTTTGCTTTCACCGTGATTTTGGGTTATCCATGACACTTCAACCAGTCATTCAATTCCCCCGGTTAATTGGGAGTTGACTAATATGCTTGAAATCTTACAATCTAAGCTAAGCCTAGTAAATTGAAGTTAAATTCCACAGAGTGAATAAGAAATGAAATAAAATAATAGGCCTAAATAAAATTATATAAAACTCGTAAAATAGCTGCAAACTATCAACCAGACCCTTAAATAATCATGTAACGAACAAACTATATTAAAACACCACTCACTTAAAAAAAAAAATTGTCTGACAAGTCAAGTGCCGAACTTTAAGGTTAAGTTTTAATGTAAAGTTATTTTTATTAAAGAAAAAAATTAATAACTGTCTAAATGTTGTCAGTAGCTAACTAGGGAAACTCAAAACTTAAACACTGAATATTTCAGGGAGAAATAAAAACATATGTAGGCCTATACATTATTCCCTTCATAAAATAAATAAAATACAGTTAATATAATAAAAAAATAAACGGCTTTATGGGCGTTTTATTGGAACGGTTTTGTTGTAGAATGGAAGCTCTAAGTGAAAAATTATACATAGGCCTACGTTAAGCGTTAAAATACACTAATTATTTCACAATTTATTAACTACAGGAAAATGTAGGCCGACTGTAGTGTTAAAGATAATGCGACTTGCGACAATGAAATTCGATGGTACCGGTAGCTTAATAATTATGGTAACATTCTTTACATTTGGTAGTACTAAACTAAAATAATAATAATAGCAATATAATAATACAACAACAATTACCTGCAGGCCTAACCTATGAAAGGGATGTAAACAAACCGGTTTGCTTCTGTTGTGGCTCCGCGCAGACCAGACGACTCAAGACTAAAATAGATTCTACCTCTACTTGACTCCGGTCCTAGTTTTCCGTACTGCCAACCGTTCAACGTCAAATTCGTTTTTATTCTGTCTCAGACATAGCATTCAGTTATGAAATACACTGATGTAAAACTTCTTCTATTAAAGTTTTTTTCTCAAGATTGTTATGTGAGGAAACCAAAACCATATTTTTTTTATTTTTATTTATTTATTTATTTATTTATTTATTTATTTTTTGCCTTTAGAGCTAGGGCGTCAATTGGGTATTCCTTGGGAGGGCGCACCGGGCAATTGCCCGGTTGCCCGCCTGGCCAGCACGGCCCTGCTTAGTACCCAATTGCCCCGTCACATCGGCTTAGAGGCAGAAGACCATAAAAGTTTTTCAAAGTTTTGTCTTCTTATAACTTTTTTTTGTAATAAGTTAGAATAATCTAACTTATTTTATGTTTAAGTATGTCTAAGAAGCTACAATTAATACAATTTTTACAACCCTAGGTTATAAGGATTTATTACAAAGAGATATCTTTGAAAAACTGTAAAGTTTTCAAAAATTAACTTTAACGCTCTATAAAATTGTCAAAAATAATGATAAGAGACTAAAACTTGTCTTAAAATGCTTATTTGTGTTTTCTTAACACGTTCGCTGCGGGCCATCAAACAGCAGGCGTAGCCCCAGTGCGGCGCAGCCCGCAGCGTCGAACAAACCCGATTGCCGGGTGATTGGCTCTCATATTTCGGTATGACGAATAGCAAATAACGTGCGGTGATGTCCTGTTTTATAACAAGAGTCGACGTAGTTCGCTAAACACTCACATATAGCAGCACTGCTTGGAACGTAGCCGGTCCCATCGTATTAACAATTGGAGGGAGAAAGACGGGACAAAAAGTTGATTTTTAAGTTTGCCAGACGGGGATTTTATGGGGAAATTTTACTACCAACCTACAACACAACAAAAAGCAAGTCACCCACTACACGCTAACGTGGAAACATTCTGCAAAGGGTCGTAAACAAACGCACGTGGCGCGCTCGCCCACCCCCATCCCGCCCCCCCTACTGATAACGCGACAAAAATAGAAACCAAGGTCACCACGGTCATTCAACTGTGTCAACGCAGGTGGCTACAAAGTATTAGTTCGAAATATCAAACGGCTGAGCCACAGGAAAATATTGAAGTTCAGGAGGACCCAAGTATCCATATGGATACCGTCGCCTCTACGTGATGGACTCCAGGTATCCATATGGATACCGCCGCACCCAATGTGTTAATAACACCCATTTTCCCAGAATTTTTAATAGGTCATTTTAATGTATAATAGGTGTAGTACCCAATTCCCCCCTTTGGGGTAATTGGGTATGAAATATATATATATATTTTTTTAATAGAACAAAACCACTTGCAGGTCTGAAAATAAGTGAAAAGATGTCTATTGGAAGCCTTTAAATGAAGGCGTAAAAGTTGTAAAGTGATTCAATTTGTTTTAGCATACAAAGTACATTTTACAAAACCTAGTACCCAATTCCCCCCTTCTACCCTATTCATTAGGCTAAAGTCTACTGGTGGAAATAAAAGTATCTAAAAATTCAATAACTCATGTATAAAGAGATACACATTGTCTAGATAGATTATAAACAAATACCTCAGTTACCCTATTCTAGGGAATCAGGTACAGATTACTTCAATAGGGTAAATTGCTAAATTACACTTAGCATACCTTCTGCAGAAATACGCCATTTTTGTGTTTGAGGGCAGCTTAGGGATGTTGCGATACTATCGATACCAGTAGGTATCGATACTTTTATTGCGATACCGCTGGTATCGTATCGGTATCGGTTGTTCCGATATTTACTTGGTATCGATACCAAGAGGCCAGTATCGTATCGTAAGTATCGGAAGGTAATTTCTGACAAATCTGAGTAAAATTGCCACGCTCGTGCCTTCTGCGGCTATTTTCCAAGGCTGGAGCAACAGTGACCCAAAAAAGAAACAAACTTTAACCCAATTAATTTTTTTTTTTATCTAGCTTGTCTGATATGTGGTTTGAGTAAATTATGATTCACTATTCATTCATAGCATAGCACTTTACATAACTAAAACCATTGACTATATATACCGGGTTTGGGTGCAGAGTTATTTTTATTACAAGTCAATGTTAGCAACGTTGTGTTAGGCAAATAAAATGAAACCGTCGACTATTTAACATCAAATAAATAAACTAAAAAGATGGCACTTAAAGTTATTTAACAAAATAAACGTTTTTTTATTTAGGCTGATGGTACACACGAATGTGTTACGTTGGTAATTCATTGTCTATTGAAAAGATAAATTATATAGGCATAGAACATAAGGTAAGATTAGGCCTACTTGAACTTTTACTTTAAGGTAAAATTGAAAACAAAGGTTAGCTATGTTTGGTTAATTTTATCGTTTTACATATTTAGGAAGTTTTTAGCAGCTTGAATTCGAATCCTATATTGGCTGCACTGTACTGAAATCAGAACATGACGTCACTGGTATCGAATGGATACGATACTGACGGTATCGATACTTTAGTTCCGATACTGAGCCGGTATCGATACTTTTTTGCGATATGGTATCGATACCAAATATCGGAAAGACAGTGGTATCGCAACATCCCTAGGGCAGCTAAAAGGAATTATAAATGTTCGATGTGTAGGTGAAAGTTTGTGAATTGGTAGGGCAACACAAAACAACCTTCAAAATTCTAGTTCTCTTCTACCTACAGAATACAGACAGAAAGAGTACAGAACTAAGATTTTCTTTCTGCTTCTGCTATTCTGCTTTTCATTCAGCTGTTCGTTAGTTCGCCCTTTTATTTGACTTTTTATCCAGGTGTCTCTGGTGAACTCTTTGTTTCCATGCAGTTTCATAGTTCTCTCCAACTTTTCTTCCATTCATCAGCATAGTTTGAAACTTTGAAAGTTATGTCATAGATAAAACATAGTTGTTATGTTTAACTGCAATTTCAATATTGGTTAGGGCAATCAAGGTGATCTGAAATAAACTCTTAACTGGGTTAACATGAGAAGAGCGGGTACTTTGACGCTGGATTATCTTAAGATTTGGATTGGAGGGAATCAACCACAGCAGTCATGTATGAATAAGGCAGCGAATAAGGCCCCGTCCTATCTGGACGGCAAGAGCGATGCAACCGTCGGTGACAAAATATGTGTCCACACTGAGTGGTGAGACAAGGCGACATAACATGGACTGAGGTAGCTGTGGTGGATGCCGCTTTGTTGCGTCACCGGTGTATAGCCGTCTCTTGGTGTTGTCTAACCCCAAACGTCACATAAGATAACCTTTATTTATTTATTTCCTCTCAACGGTTACAACATTTTACAGCAAGTACATGATATATATGTTGAAATGTTAGTTTCTATAATAGATCACAAAATTACTAAAGTAATAGTAGTAACAATAAAATAATTAATATAACAGTAGCAATATATTTGAACGTAATAACAATAATAAATATCAACAATGTTGATAAGATACAAGTAAATGTGAGTGCTTGACTGCTTAACGTTACAATCTTGGATGATATTGACAAACAATGAAGAACTGAAAAGGTAAATTAATAGGACGCCTGATTATATGAAGCTTGACTACGTAGAGAAACAAGAAACAAAATGGCTAGATTGAAACAACAATAGTTACATAAGGAGCCGGTTGATCCTCCTCGACCTGAAGTCTGAAGACGCGAGTTGAAATTCCAAAAAAAGTCGACATAAGTTCCAATATCGCTCCCTAGCCTGTGTAGACGAGATATCCCATTGTTGTATACATAATATTGGAAAGAACTTCAGTTTGAATAAGGATCTAGAGCGTGTTCCTCTTGGTGCAGTGAAGTTGATGTAAGTAAGAAGTTCTGGGCAGTCCATGAGACCATCAACAACTTTGTATAAGAAGAGAAGATCGAAAAACTTGTGTCTAATGTGAATAGGTTGAAGGTTATATATCTCCAGGTCACAAACTGGGGTTTGGGAGTATTGAAAACCAAGTTTGAATCCCAACATCTCGATGAAGTGTTTTTGGACTTTCTCCGTAAGCATTTCGGGTGCCCTTGATAAGATATCTAAATTGTTGAGCCACATTCAAGTATCGCTCTGTCAGTGTTTTAAAGGACAATACGAGAGTGAGTGAGGGTTAGTAAAGTCTTTTGTTGACCTATGAATAAATCCCAGTAATTAATTTGCCCTGTTAACAATGTTGGAAATATGCTTCTCTGGATTTAAAGGTTGGTGTAATGGTGATCCTAAGGTCCTTTACCTTTATTCACCTTCGATAGTTTTGAGTCTTCATAGTAGTCAAAACTATGGTTTGTGTGGTCCTACGACAAAATGACATGACTTGACACTTTTGGAAATATTAAGAGACATTGCATTATTTTTACACCAGTATTAACAATGCCATCAATAATGTAGTTATTGAGGTCAACATAGTCATCCATGGATCTGATTCTTGGAACACCTTGATGTCATCTGCAAACATGAGGAACTTCGTTGATATTGAGGCGGCAAATATAATTAATTAATACATTAAAGAGTAGAGGGTCCAAATGTGAACCTTGGGGGATACCTGATATACTGAAAAATGAGGAGAGAGAGATACATGAAATTTAACTACATGTTGTATATTGCACAGGTAACTCTCAAGCCAGTTTAGTAGTTGCCCATACTCCATATCCAGCTAGTTTGGAAATTAAAAGGTGATTATGTACTTTGTCAAAAGCTTTAGCAAAGTCCAAGGCAAGGTAGATACAATCGACCGATCAGATTTGGTGAATGCAGTGTTTATGTACGTCTGGAAGAGTAGGAGATTTGATATTGTTGAACGTCCGTGAAGAAAGCCATGTTATTTGTCTCTAATGAATTTCCTCAGGTGAAAGTACAGGTGGTCAAGAACGATATTTTCAAACACCTTAGCTAGTGCGGGCTGAATGACTATATGCCTGTAGTTTTCACGTCTCGTTTATCTCCAGATTTGAATATGGGCATGACAAACCCCTTTCTTTAGGTTGGAAGGAAATATGCCATCAGCTAGTAGAGTGTTGAAGAGGATCGGTAGGTGGGGGCAAGGACGGAAGCAAAGCATTTCAAAGAGAATATTTTTCAATTTTTTTCGATGGGATAAGCTCAATATCAGTATCTAAAGTCAATGTTTATAATTTCTAAAATAGTATCACGACCACCTCTAACTTAGTATACTCGCACAGATTTAACATACTTTCATTATTCAAAGTCAACAATTCTTTGGAGCAGTTAAATTCTTAAGATCATACATTAGCAGGTGAAGTCCCTTACACCTTAGATTAAAAATACTAGTTTAGTCTATGCTTGTATCATCCAAAGTCAATAATAGCTCTTCCCAACGTTAATTTTCTTTGTTTCCCAAATTCCAAATGGACAAAATTATCCAATCAGATCAGGCTGTTAATAAAATCCAAAGACAATAATTACCAAAATAATTATAAATTCCCCATAATGTTTTATATGATTTCTATTCAAATGGTATTATTTTATAAGTTAAAATATTTCTTGTATTGGATTTGGTACCTGTTCAGTTCAAACTAAAATCCCTCCATTAGGATTTGGGATAAAATTGTAGAGTTTTTGTCAATCTGGTTTGGAGGTCATTGCCCATTTGCCGGGAACGCCACAGAAACGTTGTTCAAACTATTCGTACGGTTTTGTAACTAGGTTAGTCAGCGTAGCATCTTTCACATAACCACTTTCCAGATTACTTCAATAATTTCTCTAAGAAAAAAGTTTAAAATCAATAAATCTAGTTTTTTAATGATTTTTATTGTGTCAAGCTCTCTTTTCTCAATTTCCCAAATGAATAGCTGTTAAATAATAGCTAACTAGTGTGTGATTTTGACTAACAAACCTCAACCAATGAGGCAAGTTCTCTAAAAATTCCTTGGCGTCAGGGGCGTCACTTCGTGTGGTCGTTTACTTGTTTGGTGGTTATTTAATCATATTTTGGTAAGTTTTTATTATTAACTGTCTCACTAAGCAATATTTCACTATCTAAAACATGGTTTTCCAATTAGATTTTCAAACCTGCCAAATTCGTAAGGCTTAGTTGTTTTAATAATTACTAAGAAGCGTTGTTGTAGTTTGAATCTCTCGTCAGTTTTTGCCATGCAGAGAACCGTTAATTTTTACACTAATTGATCAGTAAATGTATAGCTTACGAGTTGCAATAATTATAAACCCATCAAATACTTATTATTAATGTAGATACGTAGCTCCAACTCAGGATCTTATTACACTATTGACGTCTTAAGCTTGGGTTAGTAAGTTATTTACATATTTCAGTCATCAAAATTTCCCTCCATTTTGTTTGACCTAGCCTCCTCAGAGTAACCTAAGCTGGATAGATGCTCGAGGCATTTAAACTATTTAGTTCGTCTGCTCAGTTTAACTTACAACTTGTAAATCATAACAATAGTGTAGCACACTAAAATCACATTAACATAAGCAGTTCTGCTGAAGGCCTAGTAAGTTATTTATTAAGTTGTAAGGCCTAAAGAGGTTAAGGCCATAAGTTAACTATAAAAGTAACTATAAAAGGTAGGCCTAGGCCCTATTCAACATTGTTAGTTGACATATATTTACAACAATGGTTGTTCAATTTACGTCATAAGTCTAAGTTAGTCACTTATCATTCTAAGCTAGAACCCTCCCTCAGTCGCACCTATTTTTTTACACAATTGGCCGCACTTATCTCTCTCCAGATAAGTTATACATTGTTCCTTAAAATGTTTTTGAGTAGCCTACTTTAGAAATATATGTTCCCCCTTATTTTTATTTTCTTCGACTTAAGTTATAACTTAATAGATTTCATTGAACTCAACATTTTCTTTGCTGGGTAAAAACAGTTTTAACTTAAGTTACTTAACCCTCCGAGCGTCACTCGTCAAAAAATCGACTCACGACACACTTTGTGTAGTGTCACGCTTTGATATTTCGACGCACGAACATCGTTTACGGCGAAGGCTCTATGACTGACTGAATCGGATTGAACTGGATCGAGTTAGGTATTGTTCTTTTCGTTATATTCTAAGCTTTCTCCAGAGGTCTGTCTCAGCGCTGTATGTTCTCCGAGCCGATCGTAATTGTAGCAGACAGCTGACGTGCGTATTTGTAAATAGCTAGGTTACCCTCGGACCGATGACTGATGTGTTTTATTACGTTTATCATTGTTTTAGTGTTAAAAATCAAAAGTAGGTAGTGATATACGTGGTGCATTATAAGAAGATTTCAGTGATTTTGAAGGGCTGGTTGATGATCCTGAAGAAGTAGGTAGTGATATTGATGTAAATTATCAGCCAGATTCCTAGCTATGGTTAGGCTATGCATTCTTAGCTAAACGCTATGTACTGAAATCTGTTTTTTGCCCATAACTTATTTATTTGCAAATCTACTTCCTTATATTATTATATATTTGTAATCCTCATAAAATTTAGAACAAAGTGGCTATTTTCAAATATTTATAGGCCTATAATTTATACAATTTCATTGAGCGCAAACTTATTATTTTTTTTTTCCAAAATATTTTTTTTGGTACCTAAAAAATTTTTTCAAACAAATGTTCCTTATGTTTTATGTAGGTATAATATTGAAGCCCATGATTTTCCAAACAAAATGGTATATAGAACAGTAGAATTAACATTGTTTTAAGCTTCTCAGATCGGTTTTAATAAAACCTTGCAAATGCGCCAAAAATAGGCGGACATTAAGGCCTAAACTATGGACACTCGGAGGGTTAAGTTAGGTGCGACCGACAGAGGGTTAGCGGGTGTCTTTTGTTATTCATGTTAGCTCATCATTCTAATGACTTAATCGTTTCAGTAACTTCGTAAAAGTAAAAAAAAAAAATTTCTATTAAAAAACAAAAATGCCATGTAGGCCTAAGTTACGTCTAGCCTAACTTATAACTTAATAGCATGATGTGTAATTTACAATGCTTTCTCAAATCTCATCAATCTTCTTGTCACTTAAGCTGGATTTATCAAGCATCCTCAGATGTCAGTTAAAGGTCTAAGTTACCTCCTCAGTTGGCCTAATTAAACATGCGATTGACACAATGTGATTCCTGCATTTGCTGTAAGTGCATACGTGCAACTTAAATTTAGTGAAACTAAGTTAACATAGCTAATTTACTTTTTTTCACTCTGCAGGTCATGGAAAAGAAAAGTGAAGGTAGGAAAGCAAGAGCGTCTTCAAAATCTCCTGGAAGACAAAAAAAGGGTGGCCGTGCCCAATCCAAATCGCCTGGAAGGCCGAAATCAAAATCCCCCGGAAGGCCCAAAAAAACTTCTAGTTCACCTGGAAGGCGTCCAAAGTCTCCCGGGCCTGTTAGCCGTTCAAAGTCCCCCGGACCTGTAAGACGTCCCAAATCTCCAGGACCAGTGAAACGTCCTAAGTCTCCAGCACCTGTCAAGCGTAGAGCCTCACCGGGTCGTAAAGCGTCTCCAGGACGAAAAACCTCTCCAGGCAGAAAAACTCCAGAAAATAACTCGGTCCAGAAAAAAGTAGATGATATCCGCTCGTCACCATTCATACGATTGGAACGTACGTCTGCAAGCCCGAGAAAGATTTCTCCCATAGAACTGGCCGAGAATGAAGGTACAGGTAATTCAAGTTACAGTAGGCCTTTGTTAAACGGTACCTACCTAATTTATGGGTAGGTCCTAATACACTTAAACTAGACCTACAGAAATATAATGACTTGAAATTGTAGTCAGAGGATGGTAAATGTTGGTAAGCCAAGGGAAATTTTTGATTTAATAGAATAGAACATTTTCTCAAAAGTTACTTTAATTAACTTATATAACCTAGGCTAACTTCTAAACTAAAACTTTTGAGAAAATGTCACAGAAACGTTAAGGAGCTAAGTTAAAGTGTTAAAGGTAGACTATTTGTTTTTTGTATTCGGTTCCCTATTCTTTTAATATTAAATCTTTTTTAAACCATTAAATTATCTATAGACTAAGATATACCAAAATGGTTAAATGAAATTATACTTGGCCTACCATAAGCTAATTTGTCTCAGAACTTGTGATAGCTTAGCCGTTCACAGGACTAACTTATTTCTTTATTCGGGTTTAGGCCTTCTTGCACCAATATGAATCAAAATGAAAAATAAGCCAAATATAAATAAAAAACAATCAAAACAAGTACCGGTACACTGTGTTTTAAATAATATTGATTATGTTATAGACCTACAACTACGATTATTAATAATTAATCAAGTTACATTGCTAATTCTTTGAAAAGCACAACAAAATAACTTGTTCCTTACAATAAGTCCATCAATAGTTTAATAACTTAGGCCTATTTAAAAACTCTCAACAAGCAATAAAGCTTAACAAATTGAAAACAAGGAACTGTGTACATAGATAGTCCTATATGATAACGCCAAGTCATTATAATAACGTAATAAAAAAACTACAGGGAAAAGCATAATGAAAATTTAAATTATTTTAGGGTTCATTGAAGAAGTAGAAGTGTGTTTTGTTGATGACAAAATAAACTATGTAACATCTTCCGACAATATCAAATTCTCGGGTAACTTGAGTGTTGGCGATGTGAGACAAGTGAAATGGGAAGATGGCAACTTCTATGATGCTCGTATTTTAAGCTTAAGTAAGTAGATGTAAAGATGTAGGTAAGCTTGTAGATTTGTTCTTATTGGCAAATATTTTAGTGCACCATTTAAACTGGAGATATTAACGGTTGAGGATTTCATATTTTTAGTATTTTGCATTTTACTTTGTTTTGTAAGCATGTGTTTACATCTTCCCATATCATTTAAACGTCTTTTTTTGTTAAAGGTACCGTACCGTACTGTAAGTTAGTGTATGCATAAAAGATTGTGTTTAGTTAATTTTTTCTGTTGGAAAGTAGCCGTTTTAGTAGTATTCTTGGTAAAACCTTTTGGAAGCACTTCTGATATATAATTCGCTAGCAGTTGATTGTCGTGTCAAATTGAATTTTTTAGGAATTAGGTTGAGCCGGCCTTAAGATAAAACAATGCCGCATTTTTGTCTACAGATTTGTAGCAATTGGGTTTTTGTCTGCAGCGAATAGGGTTCGTTTTAATTTTAAGGGCAATTAGTTTGGGAGCTGGCCTAGTGGTAGGTCACGGGACTTCAGTCAAAATCCAACCCATCAAGAAAGGATTTTATCTAAGCTAACTGATATTGCCGCAACTCTGTAGGCCTAGCTTGAAGTTACAGTATGTGTAAAATCATTGACTATATAACACTACTAGATTGAAAGCCCCATGCATTTGGTTGTGAACAAGCAATCAGCACACTCTGGCGGGAAGGGGCGATCATAGCGCTGACGTCACTGACCAGTAGGTGCTGCCACGATGTGGCGGGCAATGAAAACATAGTGCTGTCTGCTGTTACGACGACGCAATGTACAGACAGCCGACAGCTGAGCCATGCTACCCGCGCCCACCCACGTGACTTGCCGGAACTGCACATCCGCTCCCCGCTCGCCTCGAATTCGTGTTGTTAGAAGTGAAGCGCGACGCGACTGATCATTAATTTAACTGCTTCGCTAAGAATCTGAGATATTAGACAGGGACTCGTATCCTAATATTTATCGTGATATTTTAGTGGTTAGTGAATTTGATTGATAAAAAAGATGTCCTGTAGATATGTGTCAATTTCCTATCTAATCAAATTTAAAACGCCGATGAGAATAACTTAAATACAAATTTGCGTAATCAAACCCGTCATGTTGTAAATCTATTGTTGTAAGAATTTATAATCAAATATTTAATTGGAATTAAGAAAGTGTGATATTTTATCAATAAATAAATAAATCGATTTATCCACATATCACAATTAAATTTTAATCTATTAAGTATAGTAGAATACATCCACCTAACACTTTAAAACTAGTGAACGAGCTTGAAATAACGACCACACAAAACGCCCAAAGCAAATAAAAACTGCAAAATGTGCTCAGAGAAAAGAGAAAGTGAAATGACAGAACATGGGGGGTGGCAGAGCGTTCGTTCAGTTCGGGTATAAGGGCATTGCCTTCACACAATACCCGACAACCCCATTGACTACACTATGATTTACAACATCTGTCTGCTATAGGGAAACAGGCACCAGTTGATGTGTCAGTAATATGAGACATTGCTGCTGTTAAATATGGGTTAAATATTTGATAGGCTTATGGTAAGCCTCAGTTTTAATTTAGAAGTGTGATATAACTGTTACATGTCCTTTAGTTCCGTTATCAGCCAATTTTATATTTATAATAAACTATCGCCATAGGGGCTCAGCCTGTGATCGATTTACTTTTTCGTTTCGATGTCCCCAGAGACCAGAACTCCATCCTTTCTCATTAAAAAATATGTATCTATACTACAGTATTATAAAACGTGGTGGTGAGAGTCAGTCTGTCTCCACTATATCACATCCATTTTTTGCAACCGCTAAAAATGTTAAACCGATGTAGTCAATATGAAGACCTATGAACGTTTTAGGTTTATTAACTATCCTTACCGGTACTTGGACAAATTTCGTACGTGGAAAGTCTAATAAAACTGTGTAGTGGGGAAAATATCATAATTAATTTGGTTCTAAAACATGTTACTATTATTATTTGGACTTTAAGAAATATTACTGCAAACTAATTGTTAATTATTATTACTTTAAACGGTAGGAGTTGATCCAACTCCAGAAACGTTGAGTATCCCAAAACACAAGAAACATTGATGAAGTTCAAATAATAATAATAATGGTGTAACAATAGTCTTGTGAATATTTGTTTACGAAACCAGTAGGGAACTGTACAAAGTCTCTGTGTTTTGGACGATTTTGATATTGTGATATGAAATTTACACTGCTTAACGTATAATTGAAATAGCCTTCAAAATACACAGCCTTTTATAATACTAGATGTTTATAAATGTTCACAAATCAATGGGAAAAAATAACCAAAATGGTTATTTGAAATTTTTAACAGCGGGAATATATTACAAACTATTAAAAATCCGAAACGACCTTCACCCCCAACATGGTGATTTATTATATCACAAGTGTGTTTCATACATAATTGAAGTTCATTACCTAAACAATATCCTTTGTTTGGTGATTTCAGAGATAGAATTGACATTTCGCATGTATACTTCTCCACTGTGTACATACAGCGGAACAACGTTTACAATTCTTTATTTTTTAAACCATTGTTCGTATAACAATAAAATATAAAACACTTGCATCATTCTTGCATGCTAATCTTTTACGCTTTGAAAAAGAAACCTCGCTCACCCAAGATTGGGATTACAAATTTCCAAGGACTGGCGAGGGAAGCGTTCACAGAAGAGAAACTTTTATTACCCTGCTAAAAGCCCTAGCTGAATGACAAGTGGTCCTAGCTGAATGAATATTGTAAATTACCGAATTAAATGTAAAACCTGAATATTGTAAAAAATAGAAAATAAAACATATTACCATTGACTATATAACACTACATATATAAAATGTAGTGTTATATAGTCAATAATATTACCGAAATAAGTTTGACAATTAACAGTCATCATACTGAACAATGAACAATTCAACTCAATAGTTCATCTATGTCATGTTTTGATACCTCTAGACAGACAAGATTATCACTACATAACGTTTTCATTTTACTCTTAAATCCAATACAGCAATATATCATATTATATTTTAGTAATAAGATAATTATTAGCATTTTTAAGCAATTTTAATTTGTTTAGTAGTGCCATTTGTGACGGCGATTAGGCTTAACGTTAAGGGACCGAGCATTACTTTGTTGTTCAGTTAAGAGGTTGTTCAGTTCTTTTCATTTATATTAAGGTACAGTACTGCAATTTGTGACAATACTGTAATTAGACTGAACAGTAGGGGACCGAGCATAGTTCGATGTTATTTAGTAGGTTAACAAAGTAAAATATACGGCACTTATTTATGGTTTAAAACTATTTAAAAGTAAAACTTACCATTACTAACCCATTAAGGTGTAAAGTTACTTGGTCGTTTCGTTTGTATTTACAAAAAAAGACAAACGTTGTTGCCACGTTAAAACGTTTTTTTCTTAAATTGTTTTGCAAAAAGTATTTTAATGGTTGCTCCTGATTGTTTTGAATGTTATTACTTTTTCATTAATAGGTTTAACTATTTTAATTATTACTATTTCAACAATTTTGAGTATAAACGCTTAAGCATAAATCTATTTATTTCATTGGTAAAGTACATTATTGCTAAAGTTTCAATATTGTTTGGAGGTTAAGTTAAAATTATTTCAGTTCTTAACCAAATTCTTATTTCAAAGCTGGCCCGTTAGATAAGGTTTAGTATTATAGTTGTTACATTTGTATTATTCGTGACTTAATGGGTTAAAACAGTACTATATACATATATTTATATATATATGTTATGTGGCCAATTAACAATACTTGTGTTGATAATGTTACTTCTTGTAATATTATATTCAAATACAACTTATATCGTACTATATCCCAATGAATGCACTTTGAAAAACTACGCAATTAAGTAAAATGTGTTTACTTTTAAAGTTTTAGTAGCACACATCTAAACACATCTAATAATTTGTACTTTACGTTTTCTTATCGCGGCAAGACCTGTATTTGTTTTTTTTTTTGTTTTTTATAAGCCTCAGTTATCTTTCAGAGGTGTTACAGTATACGTATTAAACTTTATGGGCTTAATTTAAAAAAATATTCACATATTTTACTTTAGGTAACACATTTAATTTCATTAAATAAACACAAATGCATAGTATTATTAATATAATTATTTAAAAATTATAAGCCTATTCAACTAACCTCCTCAGTGCCTAAAATATAAAAAAATGTCTACAATATAAACTATATTCTCGATTTAAATTATTCAATCGTTGATTCACTATTTTTTGCTTTTAGTTACTGTAGATATGTGCTTTGTTCTTTGTGCATGCTATTATTTATACTTTTTCATTACTATTTACACTAATTATATTCATGGTTATACGTAATAAATATTATTTTTACACAATTTATTTAATTTCATTTACCACTATTTCTATTTAAGTATCACATCAATTTGTAAAAAGTGTAATGCAAAATGCCTGAATTATTTTGCAATGCAGATTTGTCACATTATTTTTCAAACCAGATAACGAGAACCCCAGCATATGCAGGAGTATATTTTCTTTTAACGCATTTAACAAGCATTTATTTGTATACAGCAGATCCAAATGTTTGACCAGGGTGTTTTATATTTTTATACATTGGGTTGTCTGTAGCTGCCGATGTGGGGTCTTCATTTGCTAAATCATAGGGCCATAAACGAGGGATCGTAAACTTTCACCGTACCCCAGCTTACAAAAGCCGAGATATCCTCGCGGTCACGTCCCTTTGGGCATTGACAATGCAGCGGGGGTGTTTTTACAGTCTGGGAGATCCAAACAACAGTTTCGACTCAACAAGTTTTCTTTGTATTGTACATAAGCAAATAAGAAATCATTTTTCTGTTAATTCAATTTATCTTTCGATTATTTGTTTGGAGTAAAAAAATTACTAACCTTCACTAAGCGTTGTTAAATTTTAAGATTTTTACGATGACAATTTTTATAATGAATACATTTTGCACAATTTGCTTTATTATAAGGACCATCCCAGAAGAATTTCAATCAGAATTAATTTTTTTTAAATCCATTTCTCGGTTTTGTCATAGTTTTATGGGAAAATAACACAAGTTTCAAGAACTTTTGAACCGTAATTTTTACCGGAATATGGGGCTGCACTAGATGTTTTAAGAATAAAAAGGATTATCACATACGAGTACTTAATTCAATCAAAACAGGGGTTTTCTTTAGAAATTAAGATTTTTTCTTATATTAAGGGATATTTTGTTGAAATACCATAATTTATAATGGAATTTTAACCGTAATTTTTACAGAAATTGGAGTTATACTATTTTGTTCTGAATTTAAAGGGTTACAACATACTACAGAACTATTTTTTTCAAAATCGTTCGGTGATTTCAGACATCAATTCAGTGGATATATCCACTCAAAACTCATACTCGAAAGTTTTGGGGTAAACAATACTTTATCTATGTACTAACTAATATGGGGAGAAATTAAAAATAAGTTCTCAAAGATTTGCTATACCCTCCTGAATAAACTCGTACCGTACCAAGCATACGGACGGTACGTGCAAATGAGTAAACAAAACGCGGTATCGCGCGCGCAGCAGTAGCCTACTACATCAGGAGCAATGACCTACATCGCATTCACACAGCTGCGCCGCCGCCGCCGAGTACATCGCGAGCGCGGGCAATCGTTCACTCCGCATCGCCGAGTCTAGTCCAATAGTTTAGTCTAGTCTAGTCTGCCGCTAAGCTCAGTCCAGTCCAGTTGGCAGCAACTGCAGCGCGCCAGGCGACGGTTCCATGAACTTCGTGGTGACGGTGCTGCGATCTAAGTAGAGGGGTCAGTACTACGTGCATCCACCGTGCACAACACAGTACATTGTAGAAATTTCCTGTTCACGCGTCCTCCCGCATAGTCTTCAATCTAGTAGTGTTATATAGTCAGTGGTAAAATGGATCTGGGCTAGAACCTATATCTTTCAAACCAATTAACTTAAAACATAACATAACCCATTAATAGCAGCCTAGGTAACTAGACTCTATGATATCACAAGTTCAGGTGTCTATCCTAGGATATGAATCAGTTATCTCATCTAGGTTATGTCTTTTGAAATGTTTGTGGAATCATTCATTGCCTTATTCTAGTGTTTTTGTCATCAGTGGGTTTTGTTGCAGAGAGTGGGTCCCGAGACAGATCCGTTAGTGTGCCTAAAGCGTCATCGTCAGTGACCAGAGTGTACTCCGAAGAGACTACGTATCTCAGGAGATCCACACGCACCAAGCGAGATGTAAGTAGATCTACACTATCTTGGTCAACTGTCGCTCTATTGCCAAGATAAAAATAAGTCCTCTAGTTATTACTAAGATCTCACTTCTTTCTACTTTGTTAACCCTTAGCCAAATGTCATTATCATAAGACATTAAAAAAAACATGGAATTGTCTAAATTTCAGCGGTTCATGTCTCTCTTAAAAAGACTAGTGCCACTGACTGCTTTTCTCTATGTTTAAAGTGTTAGCCATTATGGCAGCTTCTTCCCACTAGTTTACCATTTATTTGTTTTCAAAGTTCATCGCAATATTACCACTAAGCTACCAATTATCATTACAAAACTTTTTTTTCTAGATTCTGTTTGAAATATAAATAAATTTGTAAGAAATTTTCTTTAAATACCTAGTGACATGAACAAGGTTTAAGTAGATTGATTTTCTAAGGTGTTACTGTAATAAAATGTTTATTTTCCCTAAAACTGATAGGCCTAATAAATTATAATTATTTTGAGTTCACTTTAACTTTGTTTGTTTAACTTTGTTTTATAGGCTACCTAATTTACTTACAAAAAATTTTTAATTTAGCCTAATTTAATTTATTTTTAAGTTTCCTGTTGAGTTACTTTGTTTAACCTCAAAACAAAAATTGAATTTTGTTTAGGATGAGCTGGAAAAGTTGAAGAGTGCTATGGACGCAGAGACAAGTAAGATACTGAAGGCTAACAACACGCCGTTGCCACCTCAATACGACCGCAAGTACGGAGCCAAGAGTGTGAGAGAGTTTGGGAGTTGGCCTGGAGCTCTGGCAGCGATAATTGCATTGCCCGTAGCCGCTCTCGCATTGCTCATGTTCTGTACAAAGGTAAGATGTGTGGTCGCTTTAGTAATCTTAAGTAAACGCAACATTTTAAGTTGAACAGATTTAGGTTGGTTGATGGACAGCTGACAGTATCAATCGATTTGTTTGGTAGTTTGCATATTTAAAGGTCATGCATAAGAGTCGGTTTTAAGGCTAAGGGTGGGGGATAGCAGGGTCACTTCAATGGAAATAGTCCTGCACTGGCTTGATACAAATGTCTTCAGGTCTATTGGTGGCCACCAAGTTTCTTTGGCAGTTTTGCCAATGTGTGCTGGTTCTGGTTGGGTCATATTTTTTCCTCTACACTTAAGCCTTCCTTGATGGAAAAGAAATTCTTTTATTGAAGAAAGAAAAGGTTTTTGTCCGTGATGGTAACATGATCTTTGTGTAAAATGTTAACTTTTGTGTTTCTTGTCGATTTTAGAAAAAAGATTTCAAAATATTGAATCTGTTAGAATATTATACCAAACATTGTATCAAACTTCCAGTTAGATAACGGCTGCTTGATTGTAAACATTTTCTTTTATCGTTCATAGTGTGTGCTATCTATTCTCCTTTCAGGATTTTCAAACTAATATTTTAATCTCACCACCCTTTAATAATAGGTTTTTTGTATATATTGTCAATTCTATTAGTAGAAAGTTTGTGGTTCTGTTACTGTTGTAGACACGAGCCGCTTGGTCTTTCACCTTGATATTTATCTAACCTAGCACCTGTCCAGCTGTCGGTGAGATATATTTATAAAGTTAGGCAGTTTGCCAATGTCCAGCAAACAATACAGTCATTGAGTCACATTTAAACTTCCAGTGTGTTGTAATAAGAAGAACATATCAGGAAGTTGGATCATTTGGATATAGAGTTATCAAGATTTAAATAATTATCTTTTTTCTCGTTATTATTTTTAGACACATTTTATTTTCAAAAATTAAAGCATTTGTTTGGTGTTATTTTGAAATATTTAACTCATTAACATAAACAAGTTTTGTCTTACTGGAACTGATTCTTTTTCCAACAATTCAAATTGAATTTATGGATTTAAAAATCTATAAATTTAGCAACACTCCATTCTCTTTGTGATAAATACTCTTCCATTCTTGTCATCCATAAATCTACTCCCCCAAGTGCTGTCTGGAGTGATGTTAATAACACAATTCTTCTTTAACACCAGTACTGCTAGGTCGAGCTCTCATTTGGTTCGTTTAACTAACTTTTTGACTTGTTTCAGAACAAGTGTGTAGGTGTAACCTACCCGTCTGTCAACTGGCGTATCTACCTGGACCTACACACAGCTGGGTACTACACCGCCTTTGCGTTGTTGCAAGTTATACTGAACGCTTTGCCTCTGGGCCGTCAAGCGTCCTACGGCAACATTCAAGTCAGGCTTTCAGGTACTATATTCTTTTTTTATCAATACAGGTCAAATACAATAAAGAACACTTTAAAAATCTGTACTCATGGGGGCCAAGTTTGTCCGTATTGGTGGAAGTTTAGATTACTTGATGTAAAAGAAAGGCAGGTGCTATTTTTGGCTCTTTGGATACCTTTTATAGCGATTTAAACCCTTTTATAGTTAAGGTATACTCCTGATTATCCACGATAAGTGATCGTGGATAGTGCAACTCTAACCTAAAATCCCCAGGCAATAACTAACAATGACTTTAATTGTATAGTAAGCTTTAATACATAATTAGGTACCGTAATAATAAACCCTTTTGAAATGGCAACAAATATAGTGTCCATACAACTTTGTTTCACACATCTATTCACAAACTGCATAAATACACAAAAAAGTGTTTTCAGCTTTTTAAATTATTGTGTTTGTCAAGAATTCCAATTTTTTTTTTATTTTTTATCATATTTAGGTTTTAGTTTTATTGTAAAGAGTTTTCAAAGTAGCATAGCATTTTGGCTGCAGATCTTTTTGGGACTTCAAGATGTTTGTGATAACAGGCTAGAGAGATAAGGAGGACACACACCCTGACTGATGGAAGTGATAAGAGTTTGGACTTGATTTCCCTTTAGTTTAATGAGCTGCAGACAAGCCATGTCAGGCTTTTGCAGCATGGTGTAAAATGATATGTAAAAATGTGTGGTTAATTTGTTTCAAATAAATAAATAAAAACAATAGAGAGCCTATGCATAGGCCTAGTAGGCTAATAACAACAACTAAAATGTACAAAAAATGTAAATTATCAATTAATTGGGTGTAATCAAAATTGAGTTGTAAGTAGTTGGTGAGGTAAACAATGACAACTCTATGTTCTGCCCGTGAGATGATGGGCCTCCTCAAACCTAACATCTTAAGTCCGTCTCTATTATAGGCTAATATACATGTAACTTTCATTGGCTAGTATATTTTGATTTTTTTTTGTGGTTGTGAACTGCAGCTAGTTAAATCCCATAGTGGGTAATTGGGAGTCTTCTGTACTTTCAAATCATTTAATCTTGCTTTCCTTCTCCGAATCTTACAAATAATTTTGTTTTTCAGGTTTCTACAACGCTGTGTTGACTCTCTCAGCGCTGGCCGGCCTGTACTACTACGGGATCAACGTGACATCCGTGCTAGGAAAGAGCGTGGCATTGTTGACATCTGCCGAGATCTTTGCGCTCGTGCTGTCACTGGCGTTGTTCGTCAAAGGTGGACGTGCTTTGACTGGTCGCAACATTCATGCTGACGGCAACAAGATCTACGATTTCTTTGTTGGTCGTGAGATTCAACCTACTCTCGGACCAATCAACTTTAAGGCGATGATTACCAGGATGGAGTTTGTCGGGATTGTAAGTTTTTGTGTCTGAAATAATTTATTTATGTATTTTCAATGTTTACAAGGTATTCAACATCAACAAATTTGGTATCAAACATTGTATTCAATGTGGCCTAATTCCTTAATATAGTTATTGTTGTAGTTTCGTAAAGATCTAGTAGGGAGCTGTTTTCAGATTCAATTTGTATTTCATGGAGACCTATACATATAGCCTTGATAGATTTAAATTAGATCACCAGTAAAAATAGTAGTGGAACCTTGATTGAACCTTGAGACCCTCGATAACAAGTCGCCCTTGATAACAAGTGTCATTTTCAAAACCCCTTTAAAATATTTTACCCCTAATCACATGTTTTTACAAACCTCGATGAGAAGTCAACCTTGATAACAAGTCTTATTTTATAATCCCCATGAGAGTTATCAAGGTTCTACTGTACTTTTATTGATGTTTAATCCCAACATATACCTAGGACTGATTCGCTCTAATCCAATAGCTCTAAATTTTTAGTGTCAGTGTTATCTTAACAAATGTTCATTTTAACATTCCTAGCAGCAAATGTTCATGTTTGCGCAGGTTTTGAATATACAGTCAAAAACAATACATGAATACATTCAATACTAGGAGTCCTATACTTGTTAAAAAAATACATTTAAAAATGGGAAATTATTAATATACTAGTGGCCTGTAGGGGCCATAGCCCCTAATTTAGACTACAATAAAAAAAAAAAACATAGCCTATACAAAAAGACAAATACTCTAAATATGTTTTTAAAATTATCAATTTTATGTTACTTAGAATTAACATTGTTTTATATCTTGGTTTTCCTTCCGTTGGAGTCGTATATTAGTTGCTTCTGATGTGTCAATGAAATGCAATTGTAAAATAATGATTAAATCAATAACACAACATATTAACAAAATGGAAAAGTGCACATGGTTTGGCTTGAGCCCGGAAAACGACGAATCAGAGCTGAAATCATACAGCCAAACATTGCACATCTTTTTTAGTTTAAAATTGAGGATTTGTTTTGTAATCTTACGAATTCTGTTACAGTTTCCATTTTGAGAACCAAATGTAAAGATTAAAATTATTATTAATTATTATGAAGGCAACTCCCCATTTCGCGGTAGTAAGTCAGAAATATATCTATGAATTTGTCCCTGAATTTTAAGACAGTAAGGCCCATTTCCTGGAATCTCTTTTTGTGTAACGCAAAGCGACGCAAAAGCCATTGTAGGCTACTGTTGTATTGCCTTATGTTTTTATGAATTTCGAATCATATAAAAACAGTTATTTTAGTTCGTCATTTACTTGTGGTTGTGGCATGTCCATTGTGGCAACATGCGTTGAAATGTCCATTTGTGGCCTCCTCTGCGAAGTGAGATGCACCACAATGCATGCAAGTGCTTTAAGAGGACATTGATTGTGAGAAACAACACTCAACTCATTTTCCAGCGTTCTTCTGTGGTTCTCCTAGACAGGTTGTAAAACAGCTTCTGGATTTCTTTCACAGTTAGGCCCTACATGACGTTCTCTTTGGCATTTCTTAAGTCTGTTCAAATCCTGGACACTCTTCCACGTCTTGCAAGTCTTCCCCTACCCTGTCTAGTTACTTCCCTCATTAGTCATTATAAAAACGGAAAATAAAAAAATTAAACACAATTAATTTCGAAACATTATTTACCAACATTGACTTTCGGAATAAATGTAAACATTGCAAATAAATAAGTAACAGCTGATGCAGACGTTTTTCAGTCCCCACGCATTTCTTATGGTGGATATTTTACGTTTTATCGCGTTTTCTGGCAACTTTATGGGAATTCTGCTATTTTTCCCGAGTCCCTGGGGCCAAGACCTTTAATTTAAGACCCCTCCCACTTTTCTGCGACTTAACAGACGTCCACAATTTTCTGGTAAAAATTTGGTCTTACAGAATTATATATATAGATGAAATTATACAGACATTTGGCTTGGTCAACAATAGTTGGTTACTCTGAAAAGATTCTTTGCACTTGTTTACATTCCAACTACAAATTGACTAAACATAGATTTTTGTTGTGTTGAATAACAGGCAAACGATGTATTTTTAGGGCAAAAACAATCGAAAGTTTGTCAAGTTTCCTAGTCCATTACAAACAACATAATGCCTTTATTAAATTGATATAACCGAGGGGAATTACAATCAGAATATCAAAGTGTATATTTATCAGTAAATGTCTCGTTCCAGTTGCTGTTGGATGCATTCTACCTGCTCAAGTACATAGAGACCCACGCAGCCGGCAAACACTCTCCGACACTTCTGTTTGTGGTGATTGCTCACACGGTGTACGTCGCGGACACTTTGTGGTTTGAGGAGAAGTTCATGACTACATTCCAAGCGCAGTACGAAGGTGTCGGCTACATGAACATCATGGCCGCGGCTGTCTGGCCCTTCTTGATCACTCTGGTCACCAGATACATCGTTTACACCGGGTATGTCGCTAAAGTTGGTTTATGAAATTTGTTTTGTTTGGATTAACTTTATTATTGGTAATAATCCTAATTAGTTCATGTTATACTAGACAAATTGTCACACAGAAAAACAGTAAAGAATTGTTTATTTGAGATGTTTTGTACTTTTAATTGGTTCAAACATGATTTATTTTAATTAATTATTAATTAGGCTATTATTTAACTATCAATTTAATGAATTTTCCATATTTGCACTAAGTTAGTATATCTAGAACAGTAATTGCCAAATTTGTTTCCTCTACAGTCACTTAGAGTGTTTTTGTTCAATATTAGCTTGACATTTTTTTAACAAATTTACTTTGATAGATTGATGAATCATGAAGGAGGTGGAAATCTAATCCAATCCGTTAACAGTCTGTTTTGATTTTTAACCTAAGTTGTAACCAAATGTAAGGTTATAGAAACCTGTTAGGCCTACATATCAAGTCTTTAATCCTGCCTAATAGAAGGCAATTTAAAAATAGAATCTGAAAGTAAACTGTAGGCCTATAGTCGGTTCACAAAATTTAGGCGATTTGAGGAAAAATTCACCCACCTTCTTTTGCATAATTATTATTTACTATGTTGGAGCTGTTGTTTTGGCAATCCTAAGCTGTTGATCTATTGTTTTAAATGTATGATCAAGTAGAGGAGGATTTCTTAACCTAAAACCACCTAAATTTTGTGAACAGAGTATAATATGCGAGCCGTGACTGATGTGATGTAATGTTTCAGATATGAAGCTCCTACTTACCGCCTCGTCATCGGTGGAATACTATTCCTCGTAGGCTACTTTGTGTACAGGGCCAGCAACTCCCAGAAGGCTGAATTCCGCAAGCAACCCAACCACCCTGTGTTTTCCAGTGAGTCTTGTGTTTCTTTCATCTTTTGTTATTCATACCATAAACGAAAAGAATTAAATATAGACTGTCAGCCGTGCTGGCGTGCTGCCCTATGGTAACCGCAGCACGGCTGACAGACTATATTTAATTCTTTTTGTCTATTTTCATACTCAACATTTGCCAAAGATGTGATGTTCTTGCTGACTCTTCTCTTATGAACCATTTCTTTAAATACCGGTATTAACTTAGACTTCTTAATTGTAGATTACTGATGAGATATTCCAGCTCCATCGTCATTCACAGGATCTCATTCCCTTTTCCTAATCCTTTCATTCCTAGATTTTTGTGTAATAATGTCCTGCTCTTCCCATCGGTCTCTCTATCATAGAAAGATCAGTGTGCAGGAGCTTAAAACAATTCCGTAAAGTTGATCCTTCTCACTACACTTCCTGCTCAAGAGATTTAAAACCAGAATTCCAAGTGTCTGTCTTTTACCAGATATCTTTGAATTAGGCTATTTATTTTTTACATGTAAAAGCATATTTCAAGAAGACAAAATAGTTAACGGTTGTAATGCAATTAGTATGTTCTGTAGGGGGGAGCGAGCTGGCGTAGTGGTTAGAGCGCGGGACTTCAGTCCCTGAGGTCCCGGGTTCGATCCCCGCCAAGTCACCAATGGATTTTATCTAAGTGATAATGCCGCAACCCCTAGGTCTAGCCTGAAGTAATGTGAAAAACAATCCCAGGCTCGTGCCTAGCGTCCTTAGGACAAAAAAAAAAGTATGTTCTGTAGGAGAAATCATTTACACAATTTCTCTATCATCGGAATACACAGGGTTTTGTGATGATTTGGTTTTGAACTTAATCTTAAACTGATTCTAAAAAATTCCTATATTAGGAAAAAATGTAATTTCTTTTTACTGTAGGGTATCTATTATAGCCTCTAAACTCCGACAGTCCTGTAGGGTGGCGTCGTCCTGTAATCCAGATATTAGGTGGTTACGAATTGTGGATATTTATAGGCATGCACTGTGAATGCGATACTCCCTGGTGTGGATTAACGTCTGCACGAGTACTACGACTATCCGCAGTACTATCCTGAAAATTAGAACAATTCGTATATACCAAGGCAAAAGTGTGGTTCGGATTCCACTATAAACTGTAGGTCCCTTAGTTGCCCTTAGCTAGGGTTATTAATTAACAGCTGTGTCTAAGGAATATGTCGGCCTTAGTCACTAACAAGACTACAAGATCGCGCCACTCATCCTACACTCATCTCCATTCATACTTGGCTTAAAATACCTACTTTGTATGGTCGCCATTTCATCAAAAAGTATTAAAGTACTAAGTAAGCTAGCTAAACTATTGTTTTAATACAATTTTGATAATGTAATATTTGTCAACAGAGTATGACACCGTGAACACCGTACAAGGCAAGCGTCTGTTGGCTGGAGGATGGTGGGGATTGTTGCGTCACCCTAACTACGCTGGAGACATGACTATGGTCTGGGCTGTGGCTTCTGTGGTCGGACTCTCTCATTGGTTGCCGTACGTGTTCCCGCTGCTCCACGCCGCGGTGCTCGTCCACAGAACATTCCGTGTGTCGGCGCGCTGCAAGACCATCTACGGACTGGCGTGGGACCGCTACACACAAGTCGTCAAGTACCGACTAGTCCCCCGTGTATTTTGAGCAAACAGGTGAGATTTTGTAAAAATAATTTGTTTTTTGATAAGAACTAGTTAATTTACTGTGGTTTTCAGACAAAATTGTTCATCTGTTTCCAGATTAATTGATACAAGAAAGTCTTCACTAATAAACGGTCCTTGTTTTGTGTAGTTTGTGATATTTTTATTGGCCAAAGTTGTTCTATGAATGTGCAAAAATACTTCTTCGTAATACATCATAAATAATATGTGGCATGCACTGTTAACAAGATGTTACTTCATTTTGAGCTTGTACATGAAATCAATTTTTATGCCCGCAACAAAAAAAAAATAATAACGTTTTTCTTAATTTACTGAACAGTGCCTAGATTAATTTTAATATTTTTTTGGTAAGTGTTCTTTGAAGTTGACTTAAGTTTGTTCACTTAAGTTACGTTGTACTAGTTCACTTACCTGGGTCTTTCTACTAAATTTTCAATAATTAAGCTTGGTTATGCAACAATGTTCATCACACACAGAACAAGAATCTTTTAGAGCTTAGTTGTATTATCTACTTGTTTTGAACTTGTACTTGTACTTTTGTATGATTTTGTATATTTTCTTACGCTTATTTCTACTTCCTATTTAGTTATCCTTCTTCTTCTAACTCTTCACTCCTTAGTTATGGTTCTAACGGTTTGCTGACATTTGTTTCAGGGACGTAGACTAACTGAGTGTGCCACAAGTGTTCTTGATCTCCTATAAGATGACTAAAGTCCTTAGTATTGTCTTATTGACTGACAAAGTTGAACGAAGAATTTTACTTATTTGAAGTATTATTAATTTAAGCACTTCTCACTGGTTGACTAGATACTATTTTTGAGCAAATTTATTTTCAACGTTTGAGCACTTAGCATAGTTAGCTGTAAATCCAAGCTTAATCCAAAATGACTCAAGACCAATTGTATAATCCAATGTGATAGATGCATTTGTGCAAAATGATCTTGGTATTTTAGTTTAAGGGCTAAAATACTTGTTTGTATTTCACAATTGACTAACGATATTTTTTGTCATTTTTGTAGACATAAAATGTAGTCCTAATTTTTTTAGTAACGTTGGTATTCAATGCCGTTTATTTTGTAATATTCTTTTTCTAACTAAAATGTATCTTTGTATTTCCACTATTTGTTATTCTAATTTTCAATTCGCTAAAAATATTTTTTTTATTTTATTATGGTCAGTTATTTTGCTGTTACTCTTATATTTTCTAAAAAATATAGATTTATTGTACATAGATTTATATGTATTCAAAGTGTAGATTTACTTTTGTTGAACTTTTAGGATTAAGTTATTTATATTTGGGTTGATCCCTATGAATTTATTTCTGTTGAATTCACATCGAGTGAGGTAAAATTTTCTTGAACAAATTCAGTGTGAATGTAAATAAATCCAGATGCTCAATTACATCAGTTTTAGATACGTAGACAATGTTGAAGCCCTAAAGATCAAACTACTAGCTCACCAGCATCTGGGAATTGTGTTTTATCCTGAGCCTATTGTTATATTCTGTAAATATTCAACTGTGTGTGTCTTCTGTGTTTTTTCAGACAGTCGCATGTACAGTCTAAATATTAGACTGTAATCAGACCAGACTTAGATTAGATATTTTTGTACCCAAACTGTGTGAGATTTTTGTGAACAACCTGTAAAAGTGGTTATAAACATGTGTTACTCTGTTTGTTCTTATTTTAGTGTTTGAATTTAGGACCTGCCGCAAAAAAATGAAATACGATGTCGAAACAACTTGGTAAAATGACATTTTTCATTTCTAGTGTTAATGGCAAAGAAAACTGAGGTATCAACGTATTCCAAGAACAGAGTAGATATTTTTATCGAAACATTTGAAACCAACGTTAATTTTAATCTGAAGTGATTTGCTGATTTAAAAAAAAAAATTGAATGTAACATTGTTGTTGATTCTTTGTTCTTGGAATGGACATTGTTACCAAAGAAATTCCCCAACTAGTGTACAAAAAAGATACTTTTAAGTAGTTTTAAGTGATGATAGTAAAATTAGCTCTCTTATTGTAATTTTTCTATCAGATGTGGTTTTTAAGCAAATAAAACAGATTTTTATCTTATTTTTGTGTTTCTTGCCTGTCTTTTTTTCTTTAGATTATAAATTTAGTTTTATTTTGGAAAACACAAAAGTCTAGAATTACAGTGGTGTGTAGGGTGTCAATTATCCTAAGCCCAATCATCCGAAACATCAGTTTTAACGCAAGTCCCATCACCGGGGTTTTCAAAACGGAATTATTTTGTAATTCAAAGGGAATCAACAGGTGATCGTTAAAAACAACAACATCGTTATAAACAAATATACAGTATAGAACCGTGGTCATTTGGTGACGACTGTGTCAAAAACTTCAAAACACCAACACGCCAAATTTTGTAGTTTTTGACTGTCTTCATGACGATTCTAGGCTACATTTAATGACCATGGAAGCCTATCCAGGGAAACTACAGTATATTCATAGTACCGTAATTGAAATATTGAGAAAGAAACAGATAAAGTAATAGGATTGTTGAGATGTTACATTAAAAGACTAACTTCAGCTTGTTTATGAACTGAAGCATGAAACCTATAGTCTATTTAGTCTGTTTATTTCATCGTAAGCCATTTGAACCTCAATTCCTATCAGAAACAAGCAGAATAAGCTACATAACTATTCACTCAAAATGTCATTAGAATATATTTTCTTTATAACAATAGGCTACTTTTTCATAAAATGTACATGCATGAAACAGTTTTGATTAAACAACAATTCTTTGAATAACTTTTTACGTATAAAGCTATGTTGTAAACAGGACTTAGGTAGCCTAAGTAAAATAATGTCAAGAGTCATATTGCCAAGGGTTCTAATTCAATTATGGTTAAAAAACGTTAAAAAAATGTTCGCTGAACAAGGGTCACAGAAAAAGAAACAAAATGAATTTCCTAAGTTTTTGGTAGATTTATGACAGCTACCCTTACCAAAGAAATAAACTCACAGCCACACAGACATTTCCATGTTTTATGTACATTTTTGTATTTTACACATTCCACAATGATCGTGAAGTCCCTGAAAACATGGGCCTTATCCACAAACCCTGGCTTGATTAGTTTATTTTATTTTATTTATGTTTGTCGCCAATTACTTTTTCCCGGTTGTGAATTTAATCAGAACACATCAAATGATAAAAACCTAGAGTTTATATGGGCCGGAACTTTACCCCCTTCATGAGGTCAGCTCAAAATGTACGGCCCTGATTTTTACCCCCGGAATTTTACCCATAAATTAGTGGGAATGGATAATTCTCTTCATTCAGTTTTAATTGAATAGTAAACATTTTATTGTTAAGTAGCCTATCTTTATTTATTTGTAACATCAACTAATCGAATAGATTTTTAATTTGGAGATTTGAGTATCAGGATTCGTTCATTGAAGCCAACTGTTGGTTAATATGATCAAAATTAATTCTGTTTACTTAGTTGAGATTACAAAAAGTAAATAAAGATAAGCTACTTATTAATAAAATGTTTACAACTAAATAAAAATAGAAATAAGACAATTAATAACTCTTACGTTGTGGGGCCCTATTTTATAAAAGAGATATAACAGTATTATAATTCTTATAATACTGTTCTATTTAATTACCATTGATTATAAGCAGTCTTACGTTCTAAAGTCAGTCCCAGCTTTATCTGTTTATTTTTATCTGTTATCAATCATGTCCGCCTAAATTAAAGGTGGCCATGTATCAACGGCCACCCTTTTAAAACAATGCATGGCAATATCAAGGACTCCATACTCTATGGATTAAACGTGGTTAATATTTTTTCAGTTTCAGCTGATGGTTGATGAGTTGTTGTGTTGTGTTTTGTTTGTGAAGTGTGTACTGTACTGTAGTCTGCTTCTTGAAAACTTAATTACTGAATTACTGTTGTTTTGTTAGTTGTAGTCAGTGATTAAAATTTTTTAACCTTATTTTTTAAAGCCCTATATTCGCCCAACTCTTTTTTTAAATAGGGCGACATTTTTATCAAGGTTGGATTTTTAGGTATAAACTGTGCTCTAAACAATTGCCATCGGGCGTAATTAATTCTTGAAGCTATGGAAAAGAAAGGTAAGAATATGTCACTTCTGCAATTTAGCCTACTAAGCTGTTACACTTAGCTATCACTTATACATAATTTTATTCCTTGTAAACATATACATATAAATTTTAGGGGTTTAGCCTACCTATCTGTTGTAAGCTACTGGTGTTGCATCATAGAACCTTCAGGCCTCATAGAACCTTCAGGCCTAGTTATAATAAAACTAAGTTACCGGTAGCCTAAATTAAGTTTTAGCCTACTAAGCATACGATCCAGCATTTAGGCAATCCTTTTTCGTGATGTTTTAGCCTCTGGATCAAGATAATGCGAGATTTAAAAGGTTTAGAACACCTGTTATATCAATTGATCCTTGTGTTATATCATAGACGAATAGAAATAAATATAGACTGAGCAGAATTTGCAGTGCTGCGGTTAGCATAATTTCTGGCGTCCACTGCTGGGAGCGCCGTGTAGTTAAGGCGCACGTGGTACATAACCACAAGGCACTCCCAGCGTTGGACGCCAGGACTTAAGCTGACCGCAGCACTGCTGTCGGTCTTAATTCTATTTGTCTATGGTTATATACAATAACTTAACAACTTGCAGCCGTTAGGTAAGTTATGTTAAGTTAAGTAGTGCTGCTAAGAGCTCATCTTCAGGTTGAAACGTTAAAAATCAGTTTTCTCATATGTGAATGAGGTCGTCAGCATTAAATGCTGACAATTTTGTACATTGCACATTTAGGGCCCATGACACATAACACATACAAACATTATTTATCCATGTTTCTAATGTTTTTCAGCTTTGAGAAATATTTCAAATGGAGGGGTAGGGTTGATGACATTAGTAGCCTACTGAAGCCATCAGATCTATTCCACCATAACTTAGGCTGCAACGTCTGATGATAAGCTAACCATACCCATAAAGTTGGCCTAACAATGTTGCTGTAATATTTAACATTAGGTTACTAGTAGGCCTAGGCATAGTTATAATGTGTTAAGTTAAAGTTAATTCTATCAGGTGGACGATGTTGTTTCTTACTTGAGTTAAAAGGTCTACTTTCCCTGGATTAGTGCTAAACTAACAATGGCTTTGATAGCTGAAACCCTTGTGAAATTGTGATCTCTGAGCAAAGTTAGGATGGCTGCTTTCAAAAACAATTCCTGTAAGGGTCAAGTTATAAATAGGCCTACATCTTCCGTTACACTCATTTTACTAGCTTTTATATAGCCTATCAAATCAATATTGTATCCTTGTTGAGCTTTAGCTGTGATTTTTGATTTTGTTTCTTCAATCTTTGTATCAGCAACCAGGGGCTGCAGAGAAACTTAAACTGCAGAACCTTCCCTGTCTCAGTAAGTTTACTGATGTTCTCTTCTCAATTCACTAAAATTTGAATAAGTTTAGTTTAAGTATAAATAGTGGTGTTTATAATCTCTATATATGATCAATTAAATCATTTTCAGATGGTGCCAAATGTGATCCGGGATGGAACGATCCACCATTGTTTTCTTACGAAACTCATACAGCCCAACTCAAGGCTTCCAAGCCAAGAACATTCCTGAACAAAAGAGTTGCATTTCCTTTACACGGAGCCTCACCGCCTACATCCTCTAGTCCTCCCGTTGACCCAACTGCGCCGTTATCCATGAGTAATTTATCAAAGTTACCTCCCCCACCTATGGGGACTTTCACACCCCCTAAGGAAACACCAATGAGAAACGAAGCCTGCCTCAACGAGAATAGTTTGGATTCTTCACAATTATTGAGAGCCGTGATGACCAATCTCTGTGACATCTTGGACTCAGCGTTTCAAGATGAAGAAAAGGTTAGTTTCTCACGATTTTCTTGTTGAATTAAAAATTTTTAATTGGTTTAGCCTAGCTATGAGTATTTACAGTACTGTATGTGATATTGTGTGTTTTTTTAATAGCCAATGCAAAGCTTCTGCAAAATTTACTCCTGTATAGTCTCGACTATCAAAATATATTCTCGTTAACTTAATGTACAAAAATAAAACTTTCATTGGTGTTCTTATGAATTAGGTACATTTTTTTTTAAAGGACAAAGCTGAAATCCAGCGGAGATTAGACATCCTAAGGAAGATGTGGACGGATGATAAACTATGCCAAGATGTACAACAGAAGATATTTGCGCTTTCAAAAGGTAATATTGTATTTGAAATCTAAGATAAGTAACGTACAGAGTGTACATTCAATGGTGTACTTAGTAGTGACTAGTAGGATTGCTTTTGTCTTCAGGCTGTGGCCAACCGTAAACTGTTGACGCAATAATTGATATCACCACTGTCCACTATCACCATAAGGCTTTGACTTGCTTGCACTATTTTATTTTTGTACCTAATGTCATCAAAATTGAATGATCGTGCTAACAGATAACTCGAATAATATATGAACTTGAACAGATGGTGTTTTTGGCCCCTAGGGACATTACAACAAAAAATCAAATTGGTCTCCCCTCTAGGTCTTACCATAAGACCTACGGTAATAGCTCGTTCTTCCCTTTATGAAAAATTTTCTAAAATTGATAATTTTATTATTTTATACTTATTTAAGTTTTAGTTGTTGAAGCATGTTGATTTCATTCTTTTTTAGTTAATCCGCAGTAGCACGCATAGCTGTCTTAAAGATCGGGTTAGTATTTTTTTGCGGAAAAATTAGGTATTGTCAGCCATTACTCTGTGCCTAACATACCACATTCCTGGAACACTGTGAATTTTGCCATAGTTCTTTTCATATGTATTTGTCATTCATAGATGCATAAAGAAACATTTGAGGCATTATTGATTTATATATAAGAAATAGTTTGCACAAATAATAAACAATTCAAGGTTTATGATTTTATTACAAAGTTTGTTTTATGTACTTTCTTAGGCATTTAGGAGGGATTAAAATATAATGCTTAGGTACTGAAATACGGCTTTAAAATTTTACCGAAAAGACCGTGTGCGTCTCTTTGCGTTTTTGATTCATTTGCGACCTCTGCCAATTTAAATGTTGACTAATTTTTACAGATTGTATTCAATCTGTTTTAGCGCTGAAGGACAACGAGGTTGAGAAAGCTGACGACTTGCAGAAATGTCTGATGGTCGACCACGCTTCCTCTTGTAGTCCGTGGATGTCCGGTGTCAGACAGCTGATTCATCATCAAGACTGTTCCATGAAAAGTGATGATGTTACAGCTGATCAGGAAGTTCCAACAATGCCAGATGATCCAGCTGATTCGAGTGCTCTGTAGTAACAATTACCAATACTTCCAAGCCCAACTAACTGTGATAAGGATACAATCCTTGGTGATTAATTTACAACAGTATCGTAAAGTATTTGTAACTGTCCGTAAGGTCAAGTTTTATCAACTTGATATTTAACCAATGCTTTTTTCACACGTTTTCATGTTGACTTTATTCAAAGTTCACTAAAAGTCGAGTCTTGTTTATTTAAAACAATAAGATAAGTGGATGGTTTTCCAAAAAGCTGTGAACTTGACCCAAATAGTAGGTTGCAAATTGGCATATGTTTTGTAAGATATTTTTATGCTTGTCTTTGTGAGAATTTATTAAGTTTTTATTACAATCCAGTGATGCATTATTTTTTAGCAGTAAGATGAAACTTAACGATTGTCAAATCAATATTTTGGGATTTTAAACATTTATAATGAGGCCTGTCCACATAACATTCCATATCATAGACTTGTAAAATATAGAACAGTTGTGCAATTTAAAAAAACTAAAGAATCCATTGAGCCCAATTTGTTTCGGCAGTTAAACCATATATGTTAAATATTTAAAAAAATATTGACAAATATATAAAACTAGTAATTCTTCCTCAGTTTGCTGTTATTTAGTGTTACTATATTTTACTGACTATTATGAGGTTGTTATAACTAATAAATATATTTATGAGTGAATATTTTCTGTGTTTAATACCTGATTTTGTAATACCCCAGATTCTTGAAAATATCACATTAACTTGGGTCAAATACCCTGCTTTACCCCCCCCCCCCCCCAAAATTGTTTATAATTTTATTCCAGAACTTAAGGTTAGCTTAAGGATTTAGTATAGAATTTTGGTTAGTGAAGTAGACATCCTACCAGCTCTTACCAATTTTGTTCAAATAGAACATAGTTCTGTGAGTTAGTCATAGAGGCATTTTTTCTCACAAAACTCATCGATATTAAAATAAATATTGGCACTAATATCATAGACTAACCAACAACAAGTAGACTTATCATCCCAATGTAAATTTTAAAGCTCGTTTCGTGTGTAGTTCACGTCTGGTGACACTGGGTGTCAGTGTCAACAACATTTTTTTTCTATTATTATAGGGTTATTTTCATGATTTGTGCTTTACTGTTTGGTTATATAACTAGGCTACGAGTTATTCTTTGGGTTATTTACATGATTTGTGCTTTACTGTTTGGTTATAATACTAGGCTATTCTTTGTGATTATATAGTTTTATTTGGTTAAACGAGGTTTTCAATGATTGAAATAGTAAGAAACAAAGTGTAAATAAAACACCACCTCAACAGTGCACCGGACAGAACTAACAATAAAATTGGCTTCAGCTATTCCACAAGGATGAGAAATCTACTAAGGGAGTATGATTCATCCATGCTAATATCCAACTGAAAAGATGGTTGACGTAACAAATCACTAGCAATTATAATTACATTGGCTGCAAAATCCAATCAATGAAAATTAAAACAAATTCGCTTGTCTAAATAAATTTTAATATTTATTATTTACAAACACTTAAGTCAAATATCAACGGTTTGAAAGTAAACAATCCTGTCATGAAGAAACATTCTTGAAGTGAGCGAGTCGTTGATTGACAACTTCCATTTCCTTGAGCAAGAGAGCAACAGTGTGCCGTAACGAGTGAAACTTGGACACTGGGAGCTCAACACTCTTTTTTTCTCCGGAGTCTAGGGTGAACTCCAGACGAACCACTGGCTCCAGGATCCGGGACAAATCTCTGGAATATACTTATGGAATTAGGAAACTCTGGATACAGTATTCTACATCACATTTATCTTGTTCTAATGACACAGCATTCATCTGGAAAGTTGTTTTAGAATGAATATGAATCAAACCATCTTCGCTCAAATTGCTTTATTAGAAAAGTGAGTTACAAAAATGCATTAGGCTACAGTTCTATCCCTGCATTAAATAAAATGTCTAGAATTTAATCAGTGCAAAATAACGTAAATTAGTCGGAGGATTGTAATTCAAATCGGAATGTTTCGTAGTCTGTGTTTTAATTAATTAGCGTATATTTAAATTTGACATCATAATCTTGAATATTTTTAACGAATTGTAATATCAAATCCTTAAAATGTTCTTTATACAAACATCAAGGTTTGTGGCCTCTTTTATGGTCACCATTTTATTGAAAAAGTATTAACATAATCTAAGTTTAGGTCTTTCAATGAAACGTATCAAGCTAACCAAGGGTGAACTGGCACAAATTAAGAGTAAACAATATTAATCTCTTTTTTCTGGCCACAACAGGACAACGTTACTGTATCGTGTTTGCAATATGTCGGCTACCAGCACAACATGTATTGTTTAGTAATATGTTAGACCTATTCTGGAGTAGTGAGTAACAAAATACTATCTGCAATAAATCGTTAGTTATAAGTCTTTTCATCAAGTCTATTGACGGTTGTGTATCCAAGGCAGCATACCAAGGCCAGCGGGTTAGTGCTCCTTATATTTATTGTACTGTACAGGCTCATTTCATGTGTTGCTTAATATGTTCCTCGCACAGGCCCAAGTAAAAAAGCGAAAATGGAAAGATAAGAATCGGCCAACCTTAAAGAAGAGTAGCGTAAAACAATACATACCTGGAAGATATAATAATATCTATTCGCCAGCTTAAATGATCTTTTGTTATCTTGGTTACTTCCATACCTCAACGTGAGCAAACTGAAAAAATTTAACAGTTTTGAAACGAAACAATTTAGGCTGACTAAGTAAAAAATAAAATGCTGAGGCATCATTGTCCAACAAAACACGTAGGTCTATGATTAATGTAATTGTACTACATTAAATCAACGTAACAAAATTATTATCAAGTTGTACGATACTACTGATGTATGACACTTGACACTGGGGTTATTTTCAATACTTACCTTTTATTTATTTTGATGTTTCAATATGTTTCAAGCTTTGAAATAGTTTCACTTGCAACAAAACTAAGTTAGCAAGCTTTCTATGAAAAATTTAAACTACAGACGAAAGTAAGTTAGCCTACTTTCTCATAAATGGAGCTCAAGGGTTTTAGTATTATTTGGATCGTTATTAGATGTCTTAGGTAAATAAAATTTGCCTAAATTAATATTTCAATAATATTTTTGGTGATTAATTTAAATTAAGTTAGGTAGTAAAACAATATTAAAGGTTGAGATTTATGAAAAAATAAACTCACACCATTGATTTTTTTTTAATGGTTTTACTTAAATTAGCCTACTTGATATCCTGGGTAAAAATGCAAGTGAAATGTGAAAGGAGCAAATTACTTAGCCTAATTAAATTTGCTTCCCTTCTGCCTTTTTCTCATGTTTTTATTTTTTATTTTTGTTATTTTGCAGAAATTATTGAAAGGCAGCTATGGGACTAACATCACATTCTAATAGAAAAGACTTGGTTGAATAGCAAGCTTAACAATAACTTAGATAGACATGGTAACAATATCAAATGTATAAAAACAATTAGGCCTAACTATAACCTTTGACTGCTATAACATACTACAAGAAAACATGCGACTTTAGATAACAACAAAAGATAATACATACATTAATAGTACCGGTACATGCAATAGCAATACATGCAATAGTTAATTCATCATTGCAATAAATTTCATAAAATGTGTTGTTGTTAAATTAAATAACTTAGGCCTAAATGCTTTGCAAACTTAAATTAATTTGTAGCCTAATTATTACAAATAATTCAAATATGGTCTAAAGTTATTTATTATTTTTTGTTATAGCCTAAAATAAACCCAGGACAATTTGAATGATATCAGAGCTCTTGAAGATACTGACTTAAAAATAACTCAAAAATATTTAAGTTACCAAGGTATAACTTATCCTAGGGACTAATAATTAAAGGAGAATCCATTTTTAAGACCCCAAACCAAAACATTCAATATGCAAAAACACATTATCTATTTGACAGAACATTACACTTGCACTAACCTTCTCTCTCTCTTCTTAGCTGGTACTAACTACATACAATTTTTATCTTCAATCAATAGAACATCAAATAAATTATAAGAAGGCTAGTAACTTATGGCAGCTCTTGGTTTTGTTGTCCTTTTCTTTGTATGACAACAAAGAACAAAAGTTTGGTTTGACAGATCAGTATGTGGTCCCTGTGCTATAGATAGATAGGATAGAGTAGAGTATAGACTGACAGTGACAGTTTGTTTGACAGGTTTGACAGAGGGAGAGGTTAGGATTGTTTCTTATTATTTATTGGCAGGCTTAAGATGAAAACCATGAAGCTGGTACTTCATTGTGGTCACCTTTTTATGATTTCTTTCTATCATGACTCCCAAAAATATTAGAAATTGAAACTATATCTAATGATGTTTTGCTCATAATATGGCACTGTAACTTGTAAAGCAACGAGTAAACAACAAATAATAAAATCTTATTTTAAATAAGAAATAAGTATTTCGGTAATATCACCTTATCATAAGTCATAATCTATTGCATCTCTTTCTATTGCACTCAAAACATTATCAATGTTAACATTGACATTAAAACTAACCATAATTTTACATATAAATGAGGATTCTAATATTCATTGATTATAATAATCTTGAATTTGCCCTGTAACTTACGGATTGACAAGTGGGCTTTCCACCATAAAAGCATTACATATTGTGGTCTCCTACATCCTTGATGAATAGACCACCATGGCTGTGATCTTAGTATATATTCTCTTTATCTATCTATATATTAATAGGCAAGCATGTTTCTTTAAAACCTTTTTTCTCAGGTTGTGTGCATCGTGGGGTAAATCTGCGCATACCGTTAGAAAGCAATTTTCCTGTAGGTGTGCAGAATCCCTTTGTAAATTTAAATAGGCTCAAAGATAAGCACAAAAAATGAGTTTAAAAATTTGAAAAAATTAACATGGATTTTATGCGTTGCCATGCTGGTGACGAAATAACAACGAAATATAAACAGAAAATCAAAACAAATGGAAGAAACTCCAATCACATGTTTTATTTACAGTGTGGGGTGAAAATAGAGAAGTGAGTACATTACATATTTTTGGTCGAGTTTCGACCACTGGACGACCTCTCGTATATATATATTGCATGAGACCGAATTGGCACTCTTGAATTTAATCATCATAATCTTAGTAAGCTGGAAAATTTGTTGGCCAGAGTAATCCTAGGAGGATTAAAAAAAATCCTCCTAGTGTAATCCTCCTTCTAGTCAGAGATCTGAGCTCTTCGTGTTCGTGGACTCAGGTCTCATGGATAAAAACTGTAGACCACCATTTTGGGCACGAGGAAAAAGGCGGCGGGCATTTATCATTCTAGCATTGGTTGTTGTTTTTGTTTTGTTTGTGTTTGTGATGTTGTGTAGCGTCTAGCGTCCCTCTCTCTCATTTCTATGGTCTATTGGTCTCGGTCTGTGCTGTTGCTGTTCCTGTTTGTACCATAAAAGAGAGTTTTCGCTTTGTCAAATTGATTAATCAATACTGTAGTACATCTTTTGTTTTTCAGAGTCATTACTAGTAAAGTGAGTTTACAATCAGTGCCCTGAAACTATGATACGTTACTACTGTCGTCAACCAGCGAATAAGTGACTAACCTAACCTCAATCATCCATTAAGTCAAAACATTACTAGGAAATCCATGTTATTGACCATAAATACGTGTTCAATTTTACATAATTAGCACCTATTAACTCCAAAGTGTTGAGAAAGAAATACCAATTAAACATTATTTTTCTGGTGGAATAGGCCACTTTAAGTTATTCTTTATTAATAAGTTTATGCTGTTTGGTTAGCTAACAATGCCACTGTTTAATGTCTATCTTTAATGGCCTAGACATTTTAATGTATGACATTATTATTATTGGCTGTGGACCAGTATGAACAATACACCCTGAATCCTGAGGAATCGCTATGGACTCTAACTCTTATTCACGCTTATTGAGCTATGTTGTTTGTGAAACAACTATGCCTATTAAGAAACATGTTTACAATTTTGCTGCATCTGACCAATCGTCTATGAAAACACAGCTTCTTTCTGCAGCCTGTCTCATTGCCCAATCTCAGTCTCAAGAATATCAGGTAGAAATGTCCAATGAAGAACTTATACCAAATCATGATCAAGAAGTGTGTGATAATCCTGATCAAGAAACAAATGAACATAAAAGGAAAAAATCTTTGAGCAAAGATGACGTACAGCCAGCAAAAAAGAAGAGTAAAAAGGGTTCAAAAAAGAAAAATGTTGAGGAACAATTTCTGCAATGTAATGAAACTGACTTTAAGGCAATGTTCAAAGTATCACGCTCTACATTTGAGGTAATTTAGACATTGACTGAAGTTACTTAAGTTTAATAAGCTATGTGTTAAGAACATGATTTCTGTCTAAGCTAACGGATTACCTATCTGATAAAAATAACCGGACATCTCATGAGTGCTTCAAGCAATTTATCATTCCCATCAGTTACCTAACGTTTTTCTAAGCAAACAATTTTGTTAAGGCCAAATCAGCCAATGGTTCTAGTAACTATATTAGGCTCAGGGGCATTATTTGGGGGGGGCAGGGGGTATTTGCCCCCCCCCCTGGATCCTGGGCTAGAGAAAAAAATATACTGTACCCTACTAGCCAATATACAAATATTTTCTCCTGTCAAATCCTAAAAAGCACAGCAGACAAAAATCTGCATATTCTTGTACAGTAATTGGAAACAAAAATTATTATTGATTTATTGTCTTAGATAGCACATTTTGAGTTTACATAAATTAGTAGTTTTTTTTATCATTTACTTTTTCTGATTGGTGCTGTACGAAACCACTAACTAAATATATATACCTACGTAAAAAATTCAGATTTTTTAGAAGCATTGCTTTGCCATTTACTTACTTATATGAATTTTTCAAGCATTAAAATTATACGTAATTTTACGTAATTTATTTTGAACATTGTAGATTACCAATTTAATATAGTTAAATAGAACCTTTTGTACTTTTGTGTCAAACTATTTTATTGGTGATAAAATTTGATTTAAGTTCTTAAATAGGCTACTTGTATTTTATTTAAAAACCAAAATAAACTGTTATAAACTATAGGCTATGAACAACCGTATTCATTGCTAAATGTTGTAAAAGAGAAATTGGTCATGAATCTAATAACAAACATAATATTAATACATCATGGAACTATTGATCACGTTTCTTAGATGACTAACTTACCAACATAAAATTATTGTGTTTCTGTCTGTTGTCAATAATTCTTAGTTTCATAAACTTTCTGCCTGAATTTAAATAAATTTTAAATAAATAAGGGAACACCATTTTGATTCTTGTCATTCGCCTATTGGGTCTGATGATGATTGGAGTGTCCAATCAAAATCAATCACCACTTACCAACTTTTACATGTATATTACCGTCTTGTAAGTCAACAGTATAAGTGTAGGCCTAAATATATATTATTGCAAGTGTTATTATACGTATATATTTCTGTATTTTTCAAATAAATTTTACTCATTTTTTTTTATTTGAAGTGCTTTTGACAATTAAAATAAGCTTAAACCCCTCTTTTTTTGTTTCAAAACTGCAAAATTTTCCGGGGGGGACCCCCGCCCCGGACCCTCCTTGTTTGCTCCTTGCATGACCCCCGTTGTTTGCCCCCCCCCCCCCAAGGATTCGGTGAAATGACGCCACTGATTAGGCTACTGTTGAATCTTTTCAGACTTTTGAAATGGAATACCGTAGTAAGAAAGGTGGGTTTTAAGACGTTGATAGCCTTGTAGTATCGGTCTACCTACAACCGCTGCAGTGTTGCATCAAGATAGCGCTATTGTGTTTTTTTGTGTTTTAAATGTTCCGTGTCCCGTGTTGTATTTTATGTAAATTATTCTATTATATTATTATTTTATTTTTGACGTAAAGCTCCGAAGATGTTGCAGTGCAACGAAACATGTTAGTTTTGATCAACATTAGTTGAAATAAGACACAATTTTGGACTACTGACGGAGGTAAGCCTATAAAGTCATTATTCGTAGTCCAGGGGCTATCAGAATAAATAATATTTAAATATTTTACTGTTCATAAAAGCTTTGCCTTTGTTTTCAGATTCTTGTTCAAATCCTCTCGGAAGAAGAATTGGAGCCTATAGAAGACGTGTCTTTAGAAAAGAAAGTAATGATAATTTTATCGCTATTATGCAATGCCTGCTCTAAGGAAGAAGCAGCGGAGAAGTTTGAAGTGTCCGTGGAGGCAGTCACTAGTGTTTTCTACGATATCTGCGCAACTCTGAACAATAAGTCTGACACTTTTATCAAGTGGCCTATGTTTGATGAGGCTGATGAGATCGCAAACAAAATAGAAGACAAGTACGGTTTTCCTGGAGTTGTGGGTGTTCTCGGGTGTAAATACGTCGCTATTCCCATCCCCAAAGACTCTACGACTAGAAGGGAACATTTCAACGGGAAACTCAGAATGTACTGTGTGGCCCTCCAGATGGTTTGCGATGATGATTTCATTGTAAGAGACATTTTCGCTGGTTTAGCCGGAGGAATTCCTCCGTCAAAAGTGCTGCAGGAGAGTCAGCTTAAGGAAATATTGACTACAGACGCGAGTCAAATTGTTGACCCTAACAAACACATTCTAGCTGGCCCTGAGTTTCCTCAACTTCCGTCCATGCTTACACCTTACAAGGACTCGGGCACGCTGTCTCAAGAGGAGATAGAAGTCAATGCTATGCATGCCACAGTTTGCCTCTTAGTGGATGAGACTTTTAAGATTATAAAGAATCGGTTTGGGATTTTAAAACTTCTTGACCTAGATACTGCAAGCATGGTTTTATACTCTGTGTGTGTGTTGCACAACATTTGTATGCAAAATGGCGATAAGTATGACCCTCAAGACTATATTTAGGTTAGTTTGCTTTTTTACTTAAAATCACAACTAAATTTCGTACAGAGCGTCAATTTACTTTGTAAAAAGTTAAAATAAGTTAGAAGTGTGAAATCTTTTCTGTTAAATTGTTCATCTTGTGTTTAAACAACACAAGTTAAGTGTACATTTGTAATATTTTGCCTTGCTAGTTTTCATAGTTTATGTTTCAAAACATGCCTGTCATTGTCTTAACAATTATATGATAAATAAACATATTTTTTAATCTAGAAACTTCTCTATCTTTGCTTAGGCCTAACCCTCTTAAAAACTCTGTTTCATATTCATAAACCTTAATTAAACAAATGTTCAAATTGTAATGGTGTTACAATAAAAATCTTTTAATTAAATCATAATAGTCTATCAAATTTTCATCGTCCATCATTGTTGATTGTTAAAAACGGTGCTTAAAATGTATTTGCAATTATTTAAATAAACTAACACTATCTTCTTACCTCGAACACATTCGTCAGGCGTCCGAACAACCCAAAAATATATAATACAACAGAAGTTTGAAGTGTCCGTGGAGGCAGTCACTAGTTTTCGGCGGAGTTAGTTCGGCGACTAACTCAATTACAGATATTTTCTATATCTGTAATTGAGTTAGTCGCCGATTGACACCAATTCTTAGGAAGAATCAAGAGATCAATATCTATATTGGTCTATCTGTCTTGAAATATTAATAGTTTTGAGCCCAATGTATCTAGTTAAAATTAATAATATCAGCAACCTTTTTATGGTACAATTTATAAAAACCCTTATGTGAAATGTATCTATACTGTAGTAACTTGGGAACTTATCAAATATTTTTAAAGGTAATTTTAAATTATTTATGAGCAAATGTATAAAAGTGCAATATTAAATTGGTGATATTATGCTACTAGGCCACAAACTAGGTTTTTATAGAGCCTCGATTTCATGTGAGTACCGTTAACACCTTTAACGGTAAGTCATCTACGATACTTTTTGCTCCACTACTAGCAAAAAATAGGGGGTAATTAACCCATCCATACAATTACAACATATAGGTGCACTATCTTAACATAATTATCTACTTGTTTTATAAGTTCACACTTTTAATCCTTTCCAATATTAATTTTGATGCAAAGTTAACTTTCATTAATATAGATGGTTTATGGTTGACAGCGTAATGACTGATGTAACTCATATTACGACTTTTTAAGTGTATTGGAAGCGAACACTGTAAATTTTCCGCTCTGCAGCTGCTTTTACCAAGCCCTTTTTGTAAACAACTTCCTCGCCTGCTTAAAGAGACTAACGATTAGCTACTCTGTGTAATGTGGTACAAAATGACTTAAGATATTCAATTTTTAAAGATAAGCTAAGTCTTTGGCTTTTATTAGAACTAGATGTTACATTTCCCAATTAAAGTTGTAGCAAGTAAAAAAAAAAAACAGTTGGGTTGAGCCACGACGATTATGCTGTTGTAAATGACTGTTTGTCGATAACGACATATTCTCAACCAAGTTAAACTGAACAATTTATTTTTTAAACTAAAGCATCTTTTGTATTGTATATTAATATATGAAAAATTGGCTTATTTTGACATCAGCACACTCAGACTCTTTTTGTGGTTCATTCTGCTATAATAGAACCTCATTAACCGTCACCCTCGGGACCAGGAGCGTGACGGTTAAGAGAATCAACGTATAACAGAAATCCTGTTATAAACCTTAACAGTAAGTTTATTTAAAAGATTTTGGAGGTAATTAAACCCTGTACAAGTGAATAATACGTATTTAAGTTACTTACGTACAAGAGTAATACCGAACTGTTATTTTGTAGTACTTGTTTGATGTTCAGTGAAATGAAGTCACATTAAAAAATAATCTAATTACTGTAGCGGTGTGACGGACTGGGACAACAGAGAGTGGTCGGTTAAAAGCTAGGGTGACGGTTAAAAGTCAAGGTTCTAATGTATGTCCTTTTTTGATAAAAAATTGGCCGCAACTAGTCCAAACACAATGATAACAATTATTTTACAAAATAAAAAAAATGTTTTCCAGAAGCTTAGAAGTATTCATATGCAGGGAGTTTCAAACAAACAACCCTAATAAGCTTACAATTTATTTTAAAATTCACAACTATAACTTTCATGACGGCCTAAACAGTAAGGGGGTTTTGCCACATAAGCTAGGCTTGCAGATAACAGGGGTACATGGTGGGGGAGATGGCGAAGGAGGAGGTGATGGAGGTGGAGGGGGGGAAATAGACATAGAGGGGGGATACAATCCAGCGATGGAGTAAACGTACGGCTGTGCCTTCGACGACTGGACGGAGATGACAGAGTAAGCCGAGAACTCAGGTTCTGCAGCGGTTACAGCTGTTAGTACTATGAGCATCTGCGGACAAAACAGAAGAGTCTTGAATAAACCAAGGAGAAGTAAGGTGCAGATAAAACTTGCTAAAGGGACGACTGTGCGCTTTCAGCTCTAGTATGTTGAGCCGGAAATATACACTTGATGAGTGAGGAAGAGCCCAAGCAGTGAGAGCACTGTGCGGAAATTCCTATCACACAAGTCTTCCAACGTTGTGAGCGTTAAAGTACAAGAGGGTGAGGGGGCAGTGTTGGACTTTGCCCTAGACACCAGGACTATTGCTGGACACCACTTAAGTGTACCATTGAATGTTTCCTCTGTGCGTAAACTTATTATTTTGTTCAACACTCAATTTTATATCATAACATATCTTGTGTGTGTATTGCATACACATGGAGAGTGAGATGGATTGCTTAGAGATAGAGTACAGGACTTCAGTCCCTAATGTCGAATTAAAATCCCACCAAATCAATGGATTTTATCCAAGTTATAATGCCGTAATCCCCAGGTCTAGCTTGAAGTAATGTGAAAATAATCCCAAGCTCGTGCCTAGTGTCCTAGGACAAAAAATGCAATACCCATACCTCATCTATGAGGGTTGTTTGTAAGGCTCTCTAACAAGCTTTTGTTGATAAGAAACAAGCTAGTTTGAATGTGACACCATAGCTCAATCTTACAATTCTCCAATACTATTCTATCCAACTTCAACCAGATGCGATAATTAATTAGTCTTATTATAGCCTGGTAATATGTGAATGGATTTAACGCTCTTGTCAATTTGAATCACATTCTGTGGTTAGGTTTTTGACTGTCTATGTGGTAAAACCCAGTTAAAGTCCTTCGCTAATTGACAGATGTGAATAGAGAAGGGTATGATAGAAAAGTCTGTATAAGGGAATGTGAGAGATTATAGAGATGATAGTAAAAATTTACATTGTAGATCAGTAGAGGTCGTTCATCAGTGTAGTTTGAAACGGCGAGAAAAGTAGAGAAGTTAACATTTTCCATGTGGATCGAATCTTGGTGTCACCAAACCAGGGATTGCCGAACTGATATGATACATCTTAAATACTATTAAGGACAACAAATGGTACACTCTGGAACTCTTAAACACATTCATCGACAAACGAAGATCCTAATATTTAATCACTGTCTCGATGTAAACTGATGGATTGGATACCAACTGCTGGTCTTGTACAAATGTAAACAACATTCTGTGATATCTCTAACACACCCACGTCACAGAGAAATAAGGTACAGATTAAACTCACTTGCGGGACGACCGAGCACTTTTAGCTCTGATATGTTGTTCCAGATATGTACTTGTGTCGAGCAAGGAAGAGCCCAAACGACGAGCACTGTGCAAAAATTCACATCGCATACAGCACAGGGTCTTCCTCCACTTCGGCTGGACACCGCTTAAGTGTACCATTGAATTTGAATTTTTTTATATCCACAAAGGTCCTTAATTGGCAACAGATTTAAAAATGAATTCATCTCCGTCGCACAGAAACCTTATTAAACGATTTGCACTTAGTGCCAGTGTTGATTTATTCGTATAGTTTTTGGCTACCATAACGTTGTTGCTTAAAGACTGACAAAAACATGTACAGTAGACTCCCTCTTATCCGGATACCTTTTAACCGGGCTACACTCAGCGGAAATTACATCTCTTTAACCGATCAATTTTTTATCAGCACATCGGTTTAACCGGACTAGATCGGCAAGAAGTGAGTGGTACTGAAACGACTGTTCTCGTGGGAAAGATTTGAGACCAGCAGTGATCACGTGTCTAAATACAATGCTATCCTAAATTTAAGTAAAATACTGTATACAGTATGCAATTAAAAGGTTCGTTTCAACAAGTTTTTGGGGACGTCGGTTTAGCCGGAAAACCATTATCCGGACTGGCCTCGGTTCTGAGGAGTCCTTATAAGAAGGAGTATACTGTAATGTATTTTTTTAATTCCATAAATTAACAATACGATACCGTCTTAGCAAAAAGGGCCTTGATCTGTTCAAACGCCATGGTCCTTACTTCATCCACTATTATAACTGGTTTCAACCTCTACACGGTGAATAAAGTTCTATGATGATTACTGTTGCCATTTGATAATTGTATATGAAGACAAGTGTTTTGGTGTAGAAAGAAAGAAAGAAAGTGTTTTGGTGTTAGTGGTTTGGAAAGTCCTAAAAACACTGTTAACATTTACTGAAAGGGGCTGGCTGTGAATGTTCATAAGTTTCTATTGAGGCAGTGTTAAAATTTGAGGATACTTCAACTTCGGTTGTTGATCGGCATATTTCAAACAATCATGGTTAAGGGTCTTAATGTATAGAGGTGTCCCCTTTCAGTTAATTAAACTCTAGTAAACTCACACCTTGGAATGTAAAATTCCTCTAACATTAATGGTCTCTGCTTCAAACGAGACAAATGAATGTCGGGTTACACATAATGGAAAGCATCCAAATTCAGTAGCAACATAGAAGAATAGTATATTATTTCTCTTCTGTTGGTAGATTTTATTTGGTGAGGAGCCGATGTGCAAACTGTGCACTTTAATAGGGAAAAAAACTCGTCCACGGATAATTTATACACCCCTTTCAAAGATTACTTTGAAGTTAAAGGAAATTTACATTCCAGAAAATACATTATCATAAATAAAAATGAGATAAATGTTTCTATTCAGTTGCAGATGAATAAAACTCATATTATATTTATTCATTGCATTTCATTAGCTTGGCCTCGCCAAGTTTAATATTTAAATAATTATATTGATTGCATGCGCATACCATGAAGAATGATTTATCTACCACAATCAACCACACATATCAATAAAAGCATGTGTCTTGTTTACAATTTGACTGGCTAAAAATACACCTAAAGGTAATCAGCTGTTAAAATACAATTCACATTTAAAACAAAGCAAATCATCAGCACATGGACATTTGGAAGACTCCTCTAAAGCAAAGGCTAGAGGGGGTAAATCCTAGAGGAGATAGTCCTTTGAACTACCATTCTTTCCTTCGCTAGAATTTAAGTTTTATAATGAAACCTCAATCTGTAAACATTGGTTAGTTAGAAGCTGAAAAATGGAATGTTACAAACAAAACCTTTATTGTGTTTGGAAACAAATAGATTTAAGTATGAATCACACATACCATGGTGCATATCTAGTTTTAGGAAAAGACAAGACGACAAGTTTTCAATGAGTGATGATAGCATCACTGACTAAGTCACAAAACACTTAATAAGAAAAAACGATACTCACAATTATTACTGACATCTTTGAATCAGCTGGTGTCCATCAATGAAGAATATCTCCAGGAAAACATCTTTTATACTCGATGGTGACTAGCCTTGCTGTTACGCTCCAAGTACCAAGATAAAGTTTCAACGGGCTATCAATTTTACACAATATTATTTGTCATACCTGATTTTTTCTGAGGATTGAATTCTTTTTATTGGACTCAAACAGTGGTCTGTTTCATAAAAACTCTATTACATAACTATAGTATTTGAATGATCTCATATTTTCTTGTGGTGTTTCCGGACCAATCGATTGACAAATATCAGGTATTTTAACCTTTTATTTATTTGTATTTGAATGATTTTCGTGCAAACATAGTAAATTTTTATAATTTTTTTTAGAGTGAGTAATTAAAAGGACTTCTAGTAGTGACTGTCATGAACTGTTATAATAGACGAGTATTGATTATCCAGTCTTTAGTTATCCGAACTTCCAAGTTATCCGACCCTCACTTTAGATTTAGACGATCAAGTACCAAGAAATTGTGTGCGATATTCCACATCCTTTGTTATAAACTGATACCCCCGCCGCAGCCAACCTGCAGACTAAGCGAATTTCAACTTAAAATTTTCTTTCTTAAATAACTCAAAAACCATTGATTTTACACAAATTTTAAATGGCCGCCATTTTGTTTTATGAATTTGAAAAATCTTGATAATTTTTTGGTAGCTTTGTCTAGTTGTCATAAATGTTTGTGCAAAGTTTCCATTTCGTATGTTTAACCATTCTTTAGAAAAAAATTAATAACTGAAAAAAAACAAAATGGTGGCTGTGTGAGTAACTAAGGTCTTCCGGACAGTTTAAATATGATATTTAGTTATGTTTCTTACCCAGGAGCAATGCCCTAAAATATTGGTAGAGAGTTCCGGGACACCCTGTATATAATAGTAAATCTATATAAGTAAAGTAGTTTCCCAGTTACATCCCTTTTCCAGTCGTTCTACACAATTGATTTTTTACGATTGAGTTGTCATTTAAAAGCTGATGTGTACCAGCGTGTTGTAATTAATACCCCAGCCACAGCAAACCTGCAGACAAAGACAACTTCCGTTTGCTTGATTTTCACTGAAATTTATTTTTAATAGACAACATATTTTTATTCTCTATTTAAGAAATGTCAATTGAACGAGTACGTACGGTTGCTGCTACAGGTACAGTAATTAAATTTTTTTGTGAAATGTTAATAGTTTAGTATGGAAAAGATGAATATTCCAAATTTGATCAAAATTTAAAAGATTTTCACATACAAGCAAACAGTGTTCAAACAAGCAAACTACAAAAGTGTTCTTATTCTCCACAAGAATAGCAAGGGAATTTAAAATGTTGGTAATATATTAAATGATTTGCTTTTAAGCTTTACAAAATGTTTTGGAAATGTTATGTTTTTATGAAAAAAAAATATAAAAACCAATTTTTACCCCATAAACCCCTCCGATAAATAAATGTAGGTCCACACGTTTATACCAAATAGCAAGCAAATCCAATCAAAATCCGGCCATTTTTGCCTCAGTCAACCAGGGAAAGAACACATATTATATACATAAATATGTATAGATTGCAAACAGATGGTGTTTTCGGCCTCACCCTGAAAACAAAAAGTTAAATCTGCCTCACTCTCTAATTATTTTCCTAAAAAGAAAGTTTCCTGCACAACTTCACAATACCTCTTTCCAATTACACCAAACAAATTTCAATCAGTTCAGTTGTTTCGGA